ACTAAACAAAAGCTCATCAGAAGAGATAAGAAAGGTCTTTTTATACTCATCAAAATAATAATACACTAAGAGGACATTATAATTACAATTTCACTAAAACATTGTATGCTAATACTGTGATACTGAGTGACTTCACTATTCCATTCTCATCAAAGACAGGTCATCTGAACAAACACTAAACAGAGAAACACTGGAGGTAAATGATACCATAAATCAAATGGACCTAAAAGGCATCTACAGAATAGGCCACCCTAAACTTGAGAATACACATCATCTCATCAGCCCAAGAACTTTCTCCAAAACTAATCAAATATTTAGGATATGAACCAAGTTTCAACAAATAACATCCTGCATTCTACCTTAACACAACTGATTAAAAGTTAGATTTCAACAGCAAGGGAAACTGGTGAGCATACATACAAACTCATTTAGATTATATACACTATTAAATAATAAATGGGTCAACTGGTAAAATCAAGAAGAAAGGTAAAGCCCTACAGTTGAATGAAAATGAGAACACAATAAACCAAAATCTGCAAGGCACAATGAAGTCAGTCCTACAGGAAAATTTATATTGCTAGGTGGCTACATAAAACAAACAAAACAAAAACAAAAACAAAAAACAGGGACTGTCTCTGACATGAACTCAATGGCATGCTCTTTGACCTGCCTTCCCCCCTACCCCCCAGGAAAGAGCAGCCTTGCTAAGCCACAGAGGAGGACAATGAAGCCAGTCCTGAAAAGACCTGATAAGCTGGGGTTAGATGAGGGGGAGGACCACTCCCCCCATCAGTGGACCTAGAGAGGGGCAGAGAAGAGATGAGGAAGGGTGGGATAGGGAGGGAATGAGGGAGGGGACTACAGCTGGGATACAAAGTAAATAATCTTTAACTAATATAAAAAACAAAAAAAGAAAAAAGTGTTAAAAAATAAACCACCAAAGAGGAACAAACAAAAAAAAATTAAATTAAAAAAAAATCTGAGCGATCCCAAAGTAATAGTAATGAACCTGGAGGCCTTAGAAAAACAAGGGTAAACAATACTCCAAAATAGCAGATGGAAGAGATAATCAAAATTATAGGTAAAATTAATGAAATAGAAACAAAAAACAATAATCAATGAAATAAGGAATTGGTTCTTTGAAAGATTAAGCAGATTGACAAACCTTTAGCCAAATTAACTGAAGATGAGGAAAGGAAGGAGAATGGAAAAGGCAAAGGAAGGAAGATGGAAAGAGACAGAGACAGAACCCAAATGAATAAAATTAAAGAGATGAGAGGAGACTACAACAGAAACTTAGGAAATTCAGATAACCATACTTCATTTAAAAAAAATTCATACACTGTAGAGAGGCATGGTTGCGTATGCTTTTAACTTCAGCACATGGGAAGCAGAGGCAGGCAGAATAACCACTTTCTGAATGGATTTAAAGCCACCTTCTCAAGACAAGAACTCATGCCTGCTTCCTTTAACTAAGCCAAACCCCTCTTGCTGGCTATTTCACAGGCCCAGCTAAATGAAAATGATAAATACTACTATTCAGCTAAATGAAAACGATAAACTGCACCTTAGTTCTTACCTAGACCTGCAGATTAGTTTATCTCTGGAGTCTTTTCAGAGAAGCTTTTTACACTAGAGAGCAATTACTAGAGACCTGCACAATGTATAAGGAGACTGTAGTCCCCATGACTAAATAAGACATGTACTATCACACCCCAGCAGTTCAGGGATCATGGGGGAGAGAGGATGGAAAGATTGTATGAGCTATCAGTAGAAATCTGCAGCAAAAACAGTATTTGGCAGATGAATTCACAGAGGCTGTGACTATGTGTACTATGTGTACAAGAACTGCACAAGGTCAAGTCAGCCAGAATCCCAGCATGGATGGGAGAAGGGCTCTTCAAGAAACACCACCTGCTGAGGAGCTAGTGGTATTGGTGCCTACTGTGTCTTTAGGGATATAGCCTCAAAGGCTACCCAATATATTTCTTACACCCATTCTCGTGAAATGGACTCAGTGGATTTAAAACACTCGTACAAGAAGTTGATAAGGAATGGTACTGATGAGGATAGAGGAGAAATTGGAGAAAAGTGCATTTGATCAAACACATTATGCTGACATATGAAACTCAAACAGTAAAGAAAAAAAAGGTGCTTTTTAGGTAGAAAAAGAAATTATGCTTCCCACAATACTATTTTACAGAACTAATTGAAATAATAATGTCCACATACTATTAGCACAGGTGCAATAACACTTGAATAAATTTTATTTTTTAAATCTCATTAACATAAACATACAAAAAAAACCATATACATCTTAGTTTAAATTCACTGTTCAATTTCAGCTAGCACATTGACTATAATATTACATGAAAAAATGTTGCTCTACCTTCTAAGAGTTTTAGAAAATAAATGTAAAGAAACTTTCCAAATAAAAGTGTATGAAATTCAGCACTGATAATTAGGTATCCACTTTTTTTTTCTTTAATTTATTATTATAATTTATTCAACTTGGATCTCGGCTGTGGCCCCCTCCCTCATCTCCTCCCAATCCCACTCTCCCCCTCTCTTCTCCCCCTATGCACCTCCCCTAGTTCACTGATAAGCCTGGTAAGGCTGCACCATGGGGAGGTGATCAGAGATCCTGTCACTGAGTTCATACCAGAGAAAGCCCTTGCTCCCCTTATTAGGGTCCCCACTTGGATACTGAGTTTATGGGCTACATCTGAGCCTGGGTTTTAAGTTCTCTCCATGCATTGTCCTTGGTTGAGTTTTCAGTTTTTCATAAGAGTCGCTGCACTCTGCCCAAAGTTTGGCTATGAATCTCAGCCTCTGCTTAGATACCTCAATCAGTAGAGACTTTCAGAGGCTGTCTCTCTCTCAACAAAGGAATGGATACAGAAACTGTGGTACATTTATACAATGGAATACTATTCAGCAATTGAAAACAAGGAAATAACGAGATTTGCAGGTAAATCTTGGGAACTAGAAAAGATCAGCTTGAGTGAGGTAACCCAGAAGCAGAAAGACATACAATATGTACTCACTCAGAAGTGGGTATTAGCGATATAATATAGGAAGGGTCCCACAGAGAGAAGCATGTGACTCTGTTCTCTTATGTGACCTTTAGTACACAGCATAAAGAAATGGCAAATCAAAAGTGGTTGCCTTCATAAGAACATTCAATAAACTTGTTTTAAAACTAAAAAAAAAAAGAAAAAAAAAAAAAGAAAAAAATCTATATTCCTAAAAAGCTAAACAACAAGGAAGACCCTAGGGAAGATGCTCAATCCTCTTTCAGAAGAACAAATGCTACAGACATTGGAAGCAGGAGAAGACAGGGAAGAGGACAGGAACCTACCATAGAGGGCCTCTGAAAGTCTCTACTGATCTAGGTATCCATCTTAAGAATACTTTTGCTATGCTGTGCCAACATCAGTCTTGATCTCAACAAAATTATTTCCTTATGAAGTCTACATTATTTTGTTCATTGTAAGTGATCTCTGTTTAACAACAATTTAATGTCATACAGTGTTCAGCTCAGTTTCAGATGCTAAATATCTAACTTTTCTTTCTTGACTATACCTTGACTGTAGTCTAGGAATTTAGCTATTAAATTTGTTTATTCTTTACCTGTGCCACTTAGAACTTTCATTATTTCTCTTTCCTCTAAGGATGGCTCTGCAATAGTAATAATTTAGTTCACCTTTATGTGGGAAACTATTCTAAAAATTTTTTTTAGTTATGTCTTTGATCTGAAAGAAAATACCTTCCCTTTTGTTTCCATGATTTCTGTGTTACATTGACCACTACAAGAAACCAGCTAAGAGTTCCTAAGGAACTCTTTGAGTAACACTATGTATTTGAAATTATTAAGTATATTTTGCCCAAACATCAGGAAAAACTTTACTCCGTTATGACAACTTGGTAGCCTCACAAAATTTCTCTATGGTTTATCTCCACTGACGTAACATTCTTTTTCCATTAAACTTTAAAATCTTGGGTATTTTGAATGTACTTTATTTCACATCTCTGAAAAAGTGAGACTCTCCTACAAAACCTTGGAAAGAGCATTTAACCCTGCTCCTTAGAGAAATGCTTTGACACAGCCTCTCTATGAAGTCAGACTAGCTTAAACTCTTGATCCTCCTGCCTCAGTTTGCTACAGTGCTAGGTTTATGTGCATAAATGTCCAATCACCATGTCCAGCGTGAGAAATATCTTTTGTTGGCTAGCTGAAAACCAGCTCCACTTCAACAAAAATGTTACTATGGTGTGTTTAGAGGTAAAGTTGGTGTGTGTGTATGCGCGCACACATGCACTGGCAGAAAAGGCTTGTTATAATAGCTTTCAACTTGCTTTATTATCAATACAGAATACAAAAATCTAATGTTCAGGGGAGATTTCTTTTTTTGAAGATATACTCACATTAGCAAGAGTAAATATTAGCAAATTTACATTTTTCAAATAGTTTGATAGTATCATTAAGTCATTATCAACTTTTAAATGATGTAATTTGCACTTATCAAAAACTATGGAACTGTAAATGCTAACACAGTCCTGCTTGAGCTGCTTTAACAGATGCTGCAAAAGAAAGCTGATTATGTAAGAGATACTGATGACAACCCTTGATAAATGTTTAGGAACTATCTGTCATATAATACAGTTTCTAAAAGCTGGGATTAAAGCTGTACTAAGCAAACAGAGATTTAAAGATACTTCCATTTCTCAGATTTCACATTATATAGTATTTACCACAAGTTTAAGAATTTTTTTAAACAGAAGTAACTTAGACTACATATAATAAAATGTCTCACTAATGATTATGGGTTTAAGTGAGAAGAAAGCCCATTTTGTCCTGACTTTTAGTACTAAAATCTTGAAAACAAAATCTTTTCTTTATTGCAGAATAAACATTGTAAGAGACACTGACAATAGTAACACACTATCAAAATATATACAAATGGCAGCTATGTAATTTTTATATTTTTTGACATTAGAAATATGCACTTCTCAATTTAATCTCCTGATGAACCACTTCCAATATCAATGTTAAGGAATTCCTTGATTTTATCATATAACACCAACACCAAAGCACCCCCTGTACCACGAAGGATGTTGGAGAAGGCACCACGGAAGAATGCACCACTTCCTTCATGTTGATATATTTTCAGAAAGCAGTCTATGGTTCCTTTATATTGCCGCTGAGACTCACCACTCTATGTTAAAAAGACAAACATTTTCTATTAGTTTATTATCTTTTAGGACATTTTAGGACATCACTACTATAGATAAAAACTAATGCTATGTTGAGTTAATGAGAATACATTTAATATTGTACTAAGGGAGTAAATAATGTCCATACTTTTCAGAAACATTTGAAAACTGACCATATTGTCAAACATTAAAGGATGACATGGTTTAAACTCACCACATTTCAATTACGTGAAAAACTCAGCAAAATTAACACTAGGAAATATCTATTTTTTGACGATTAGGACTTTTTCTTTTTAATGAAAACTTGAAAAAGCAAACAACCCAAGAGTCTTTAAATTAAATCTTGGCTAATTACTTTAACATTAGGAAGAGACTGATGAGCTTAAAAAAAAAAACAACATAAAAAAGTAGGAACAACGCACACCTTTATTCCCAGTACTCAAGAGGCAGAGGCAGGAGATCTTTGAGGTCAAGACCAAGCCTGGTCTACAGACTGATTTCCAGGTCACCAGGGCTACCTTGAGAAACACTGTCTTGAAAAACAAACAAACAAACAAACAAACAAACACCTTGCAAAACCAAGTAGGATCAAATAAATAAGCACAAGTTATAAAGGAAGTATCAAACAAAGACAACAGAGTATATGATGCAGAAACAGCTCAGTGCTTGTTGTATGGGGACCTGGTTTTAGATCTCCAGCCTGAAGTCTTTGGGCACACATGTAATCCCACTGCTCCTATGGAGAGATGGGAGGTGGGGACTGGAGGCTCCTGGGTCAGCTAACTGGGTACTGGTAGGTATGCAAGAGTTATACACTTTCTACCTGCCTCCACCTACATAGAAGCTGAGGCCTTACACCTGAGGGAGTGCTATATATGACCTTCACATGCATGCTTGCACTCACAAAAGTGTGCATGAACACAAACACACAAAGGATCCTTTTAAGTCAAAAGATAATGAAAACAGTAAAATGAAAAGTTTAAATCAGCTCTCTGAAATATCTGTGGGTCTTTTCTGTAATGTGTTAGAGAAGAATGGCCTCCATATCGTCAGACAATGTGAGTGCAGAGGATTAGAGACTAGAGTAATACACCACACACTTCATGATAATTATTTTTATAACCCAGAAAGCAGAAATGTAAACCTACCAATAATATAATTTATAATTTAAGTGAAATAAAACCTAGCACTACAGAATTGTTGCTTCAGAAATGCAACTGTCAAAGTCACTGTCACAAGGAAAGCTGCATATTCCATGGTTTACTCAATATTCACTAAGATTTTGCTTTTAGGAAGCTGAATCTGATCACCTTACACAGCGTACATTCCTTTGCTATGCATTCCTGGATCCTCTGCACATTTCTTTTTAGTCCTTAGTTTTGTGTCTTCAATACTACACTATGGGTTTGGGAGCAGGTTCTATCATATTTCTATCACCAGAACTTAGTGTAGATTATGCATTCAAATGTTTACTGAAAAAAATGAATGTAACATATAAGACATGGAATATATTAAGTTTAGGCATTTATGTTTAGAACAAAGGTTATTATAAATACTTTTCACCCTTGGAGTTCAAAATAATATACTTACTATCAATATTTTTATATTAATTTGCAAAGGAAATTATTAGGCTAATGGCCTATAACTGAGTTTACTTTACTTGAGGTAGTAAGGTTAAGATGGATTATTTGAGGTTGAAGATTAGCTAGAACACTACTGATCTTTCAAAGGAGCAGAACTCACACAGCAGCTCATAACCATCTGTAAATCCAGTTCCTGGGGATCCAATGCCCTCTTCTAGCCTCCTTGGGCACACAGGTGGTACAGACATATACAAAGGCAAAACATCCATACAAATCAAATAATAATTATTCCAAAAAATTTAAAAGGATCAATATATTCATCTAATCTCTGTAATTCCCCCCTCCATACTCCCAGAAATCCAGGAGTAGAAGGAACTTTTGTTTTCACAGCAGAAAGGAATAAGCTTTGCTGGCTCTTTTACAGCAGGAAACAATGCAAGTTGGAGCACAGAAAGACAGATGAACTTATCTTTCAGCTAACATGTCTCTGAAATTCAAACATTACATTTACATGTAAGATACTAATTGATTCAGTTAAATTTACAAATACATTACCTGCATCATCATACGTCTTCTAACTGTGTCAAAGGGATAGGAGAGTATTCCAGAGCAGGTAGTCACGATTTGAGCAATGATAAAAGAGATAAGAAATGGGGTTTCCTTTGGTTTTGGCAATAAACCCTAGGAGAAAAATGTATCAAATATTAATTTAGTTTTGCAAAGTACCTTAAAGTTTTAATTCAAACGCTGTTTTTATAAATATATGAACAAAGATGAAATAACATTTAAAAAGCAATAAAAAAAAAAACATCTGAAGCTGAGAAAACAGGCAAGTAGTAAAGTGCTTTCCTAGCATGCAGAAGGCCCTGGAGTTCTTACCCAGATTTCTTTGGAAACATGCTACAGTGATTAAGAGCAAAGACATTTTGTTTGCCATTAATAAATACATTTCTTAATGTATTAGTATACATTTGTTAAGACAAATCTTAAGTTACGTGTCTTCAGAATGTGTTTTAAACTTAGAAAAATAACATGAAGTTGTAGAGTACTTAATATTGTTTCTAGTACTAAGTAACAGTTCAAAAATGGTAGCCATTATTATAGTCTTTCTTTTTTCCACATGAGAGTGCTACTAAACTCTGAACTCAAAAGACAAAACTGCAAAGCAACATAGAAAACACCATATTGAATCCAGAAGTGGCCAGTGGTAAAGCAAACCACATTTAATTAACTGTTTCCTAGTTCCCACACTGATTATCTGCATATAATGTGGTAATAAAACTAATGTACACCAGAAAAAAAGTAGAACATGTATTTTTATCTGCCGAAGACATGGAGGCCCAACCAGTATACTCTCCACACATCCTGTGTGTGATGCAAAAACCTTAAAAGCTTCAATGTTGGCAAAGTGATCATGTAAAGTCAGTCATAATAGTTATAATTTAACTAAATTATGGAAGTCACGGATTAAATGAAACTTTGTTTCTATTTTATCATTCAATTTGATTTATGTAAAGCAATTATATACTAGAGAGTAGAAAAAAAGAACAATGTATTTCAGAGACCCCTTTAAAGTCACCAAATTACCTTAACGGTGTCATAAGCTCCAAAGTAAGAGGCTCGATAAACAATGATGCCCTGAACAGAGACACCAAACCCTTGGTATAGACCAATAATTCCATCTGACTTTACTACTTTCACAAGGCAGTCACCTAAACCCTTGAATTGCCGTTGATCAGGACCTAAATTAAAGCAATGAAACCTGTAAGTAACATTTATATCAAATAACTATAAGTAACATTTTATACCAAACATCTTAATCAAAACAATTAAACATTTTAAAGATTCAAATGATGTGAAACTTTTACCCAGAAAAATATTCTAATTAAAATTTCTAATTCTGGACCTAGGTCCTATACACATATGTGACCAATGGCAGCTTGGTCTTCATGTGGGTTGTCTAGTGAGTGGAGGTGGGAGGGGGCCTGTTTCTAACATGGATTCTGTTGCCTGCTTTTGGATCACTTCCTCCTGGCAGGGATGCATTGCCTGGCCTCAGGGGATGAGGAGATGCTCAGTCCTGATGTGACTTGACATGCTGGGGAGGGTTGATATAGGGGAAGTGGGGCTCCCCTTTTCTCGGGAGAAAGAAAGAAGGGGAGGAAGAAAGGGAAGAGGGAAACTGGGAGGGGGCACCCTTGGGATGTAAAGTAAATAAACTGAAATAAAATAAAAAATAAAATTTCTAATTAAGGACATAAATAATCTTCACATTCACTCAAGATTTCAAGAAGTATTTTAAAAGAAATTAACTGAAAATATTAATCTCTTACAAAAAGTAATAAGCAATTTGACTTGAAATATGTCACCCAAATTACCAGAAATTATGAAAAAATACTTAAAAAGAAACAAAGGAAATCTGCAGGGTGAGAGCTGTTTCATCTCACCCAGAGAAGAACCACTATAAACAAACAACGCATACAGAAGGAGCACTGAAGGAAAAAAGTTACAAGCAAGCTTTGGATTCACTCTTGTCAAATGCCCATTTCCATTTTTTCTTTTAAAGTGAAAGGAAAAAAAAAAAAAGTTACTCTAAGCCTGTTGCCTACGTATTTGTTTCGGAATAAATTCTGTAGACTAGAGGCTGGAAAGACGGCCTGGCAGTTAAGTGTTTGCTACTCTTCCAGAAGACATGAATTCAATTCCCGACTCATGCTAGATGGCTCACAAGTGCCTGCAACTTGAGGTCCAGGAGATCTAAAACTCTCTCCCGGACTCTACCAGGACCCTTATACTCATGGCCTTCACTCACAAAGACACACATACACAAATAAATCTCAAAAAACTGTTAAATTTGGTAATAAGGTTGGCACAAAAATGGTTCAAAGCACAAAGGAATAATTAATACTTATAAAAACTCTGTACCGCCTTTACTCCCAGCATCAGGAGGTAGAGGCAGGTGGATCTCTGAGTTCCTAGGCCAGTCTGGTTTACAGAGTAACTTCCTGGACAGCCAGGACTACACAAAGAAATGCGAAACAACAAACACCCCCCCCCCCCAAAAAAAAAAAAAAAAAACAAACTCTGTACCTTTTCCAATATCAACACCTAAACGGGTTCTGGCAAAATCTAGTGGATACACCACACACAAGGATGTTGCTCCAGCAGCCCCTCCGGAAGCTAGGTTTGCTAGAAACCACCTCCAGAACTGGAATACACAAAGTTTAAAAGCATTAAACTATAGAATATGACTGTTCAAAATAGCTGGTAAACTAATTTTCACAAAGGTTAAAAAAAGCAAGATTTAGAATTTGCTCTTATAAATATCTATGATAATATGCAAAACATTTCCCTCATATCTATGCACCCTTTCCCCTCACTCCATTCCCACACTGGGAATAGAGCCCAGGACAGCATCACAGGCTTTTGGGAATAGAAAAGATTATCTAAACTGGGGCTGTTTAAGGAAAGTATAGGACAGAAGGCCTTTGTAAGACCAAAGTGAAAATATCCTAGTCAGTTTCCTAATTCAGGCTCCTGCTACGTTGAATGCTAATATTTCTAATATTAGTTTTAAGTTTTGGACTGCTTTGAAACTCCTATCTTTATCTTGGCCTAGAATGCCCTTCCTATTGCTTTTCAAAATCAAACACAGTTGTTGCTTACTGCTTTAACTTCTGCTTCTTTTATGAAGCCTCTCATCTCCAGCCCTGTAAAACTGTCTATAGCCACAGCCTCTTCCTACCAACACTTTATGTCAGAGAACAAAGGTGAATCACAGGAACAAATCAAATGTATCACTGTATTCCAACTTTTATTTTAAAATTGTACTTAAAACCTTTTCAATTGTAGTTATATATATACACTTACATGCCTACAGATTATAATTCTTGAGGCCAAGATAATTTGTATTTAATATATTTGGTTACAATTCACACTTTGTAAAATTTATCCTTGAATACAATTCAACAAGTTAGATCCATAGTTAAATAACCATCACCAGTTTTTAAAACATTTTTTATCATCTGAAGAAATCCTATATTCCTTCTAAGTCAATCTACATCCTCTCTAACTCCTTGAGCCCTAGGAAACTTAATGTTTTTTTTTTATCTCTACAGTGTCAACTGTAGAGATTCCATATGAACAAAACAACACAATATGTAATCATCCATGGTAGTTTTGTTTTCCATTTGACAATGCTTTTAAGTTTGATTCATGTAGCAACATCTACTATGACACTTCATCTGCTAAATGACACTGCCATATAGATGGATACATCTGATTTTATCTATCAACTAGTTGTTTCATTGGCTAGAGGTCATCTGTTCTGTTTTTTTTTCCCACAGAACAAGTCATGTAATTTGCCCAGGGACACATGCTCACTAAATAGTTGTTTTAGTGAAGTATATAGGTAATGCCACTTACTGTTTCCACACTCCCATGGCTCCCTTTAAGTGAGGTGTATCTGTACTACTGTGTATCATGTTACATAATCACAGGCAGACAACCGTATCGAGAGATTGCATGTGACACTGGGGTAACTAATCCACAAAAATCTGGCAGAAAAACATGAGCTGGGTCAAGACTTTCTTAGAAATCTGACATGAGACATTAGAGAGTCTATGCAGTAAGAATAGCGATGGAACATTATTAGTTTTTGATATCTGATAAACTTTTGGGATTTTTTTTTAAAGCTAGAGATAGACTAGAATGTACAAACATACACATTTATTATTTCAGGTAGTGCTGATACACCCTGGATCCCAGGTTAAGATCCTCTGACTTAAAGAAAGGCTATCAAAGATCACTGTAACTTTGGGCTTCAAATTACAAACATGTAAGTTATGCATATAACTTTTACAACTAACATGTTTTAACTATTAAAATAGGGGAGCAGTAGTGAGAAAGCAAACACACCTATAAAAAGCAGGTAAGTAGAAAGCCTCCCACAGAAGAAAGAAAGAAAAAAGAAAGAGAGAGAGAGAGAAAGGGAAGGAGAGAGAGAGAGAGAGGAGAGAAAGCAAGCATATAGTTTGGTTTGGTCCTTTGAGAGGCCATCTGCTCAAATCAAAGTGTCACTCATCACCTCTTTTGTCTGATCCAATTCAAGTGAACCTATTACCACCAGTAAGTCAAACCAGATATGACATAGAACATAAGGACTTGTAACTGATATCTTTTGTTTGTTTGTTTTTTGGTTTTTCAAGATAGGGTTTCTCTGTAGCGTTGGCTGTCCTGGACTCACTTTGTAGACCAGGCTGGCCTCAAACTCACAGAGATCCTCCTGCCTTTGCCTCCCTGAGTGCTGGTATATTAAAGGCATAAGCCACCACGCCTAGCCATACCTATATCTTAAATTCTAGTAAATCTATTTTCTTTTCCTTCTTAGACAAGGAAAAAAAAAGGCAGATCACTGACTTGGGGTGGATAATTATCTATTTTCTTCAAAACAGATAGTTCAAGTTGTGCATGTGGAACTTACAAAAACAGATACTGGCGAAAGGAGAGAGGGAGTCAGAACTGTTTATGCAGAATAATGATCCTAAATTGATTATATAACAACACCTCTGACATTACATTAAGCATGAAACAAAATAACCCAAGAAAGACTGTATATCAATAAGCATTTCAATTATTTTAAATTACTAATTTAAGATTTTACAATATTGCCCTTTCACCCTGCTATTGATTTCTAGGCCATTCCATTCTACTCAGAAAAGATATTTAATACTTCAGTCTCCTCTAGACTTTCTTTGTTATGTAACAATTCTCCTATTCTGAAAATCTTCCATGTACACTTGAAAAGAATTTTAATTCCACTCGTGTTTAATGTAATGTAATGTAATGTAATGTAATGTAATGTAATGTAATGTATTTTCCCTTTTAGGTTCATTTGGTCTACTGTGAAATTTAATACCAGTAAGTATTTACTGCCTTTATAGCTGAAGAAACTACCCATTGTTCAAATTGGCATATTGAGGTGATCTTAATACACAGTTTTTGTCCTTTATACTATTGATGTGACATTTCACAGCTAAAACTTCTGTAAGCTGAGCCATCCTTACATCTCTGGATGAATCCCACTCTATCATAAAGAACAGTGTCTTCTTTCTAATGTGCTGCTGGATTTCATGAGCTAGAATTCTGTTGAAGGGTTCCCCACCACCACCCTTCATCTATGCTCAACAAGGATATTACTTTCTCCTTTCCTTTTTTTTTTTTGGTTGTTGTATCTTTCTCTGTTTTGTTTATGATGGTGACAAGTGAGGTGACTGGCTTACACATTTACTGTATTTTTTAGTTTATTCCTCGTTGTTAAAAGTTTACCATACTATTACACATCCCACACCTTCTGTAGTTTCTGTTTGCTCTGTTTTTAGCTGTGTGCTCGTTCATATGAAGGTCAAAGGACAATTTTGGATTTCATTACTCAGGTACTATCTAATTTGCACCTTTTTCTCTCTCTTTCTTTGAGTCAAGGTCTCTTAGTGACCTGGAGCTCACTGATTACACTAGGAAGGCTCCAAGGATATGGTTGTCTCCCTTCCCAGCGCGAGGATCATAAGTGCACACCACGAGGCTCCAATTCTTTTTAAATATGAGTTGTGAAGTTTACACTCAGAACCCACCCCCCCCGCTTGTAGAGCAAATATATTGTCTACTAAGCTATCTCCCCAGCCTCATGCCATCTTTTTATTACACAATTTTCTGTGTTCCTGACCTCTTTTGTCTTAGCTTCTATGCTGGAGAGTAAACCCCAGAGGCCCACACATGCAAAACGGGCACTCTATTATCAAACAACACTCTAGCAACTTCTCTTATGCTTGATTTCCATACATGAAAAACATTTCACTTTTTTTAATTTTATTTTTTTCTTATCAGTTACATTTTATTAACTCTGTATCCCAGCCGTGTCCCGATCCCTCATTCCCTCCCAGTCTCTCCCTCCCTCCCTCATCTCCACCGTGCCCCTTGCCAAGTCCACTGATAGGGGGGACCTCCTCCCCATTCATCTGATCCTGTTTTATCAGGTATCTTCAGGACTGGCTGCAAAGCTCTCCTCTGTGGCCTAACAGGACTGCTCCTCCCTTGGGGGGTGGGGAGGCCAAAGAGCCAGCCATTGAGTTCCTGTTAGAAATAGTCCTTGTTCCCCTCACTATGGGAAACCAATTGGTTATTGAGCTACCACAGGCTACATCTGAAACTGACATGCAACCAAGGACCATGAATGAATGTAACCCAGAACATTTCACTTTTTTAGGGAATACGCAAACCACTGCTGGAGGAAATAAAAATCTGATGGCTGCTTCTTTATGCTTATGAAAAGCAGTAATTGTAAGATAGGAATTACATTTACTCTTTACTCTGGGGTACAATGCATTGACACAAGTGATCCCTTACTGAAGCTAAAATATTTTATAAATTTATTGAATATAATATAAAATTTTTATATATTATATAACTTTATGTTAATTTGTCAACATTTAATGTTTTTCATTTTTATTATTTTCACTAACTTCCAGAATACCTTTACTCCAAATAAGACATTATACATAAGACAAATTCAATAGCTTCTTAGAAAATTTTAGACATATTGAAACATAATTACCTGTTTTTCTTTATTAACTCCAGACATGAATATTTGTTTGTATTTGTCCTTAAAAGCGAAGTTTAAAGCTTGTGTTGGAAAGTATCGAATAACATTTGCAAAATTGCCACGCCAATAACTGAAAAAACCTATAAAATCAAACACATAAATCCATTTACATTAGAAAAGAATTTTTAAAAACATAGTTCTACTGAAGAAAATGCAACATCAACTATGCAGTCCATTCTAATTTTGTTCATTTCCAACAAAATCTAAAGGACTCATCAAAACAAGTTATTAGCTAAACAAACACAGGACTATTCATTTAGGAAAAAGTAGAGCTCACCAGTAACCTCTGACCTCGTCCGCATACCATGATCCAATTCCTACAGTTATAAAGCATGAGCACACTGGACCAAACAAACAGATCCACTTACTGAATCAGACACACAACCATGAGAATTAAAAGGGAGTAACAGGAACTTATGCTCCCTTCTTTTAATGTTCTGAACTATTTGGAAAAGGGCTGGAATACCAAAAAGGGAGAATGTTGGGTGTAGAAAGAGAAAAGTTGATCCATTTTATTTCAAGGTAGTCTCTCCTGGTCTAGTGAAGTAAATAATTCCCCCTCTTCAGTTCTCCATGAACTGCCCAACCCTCATGACACAAGTCATTATGTGACTTGAAATCCAGAGCTAGCTATATATTCCAGAGCTCCCCATAAAGCATGACAGTTAACTCTTCCATAGTCTTGGATTAGTTTCAGGAGATGTCAAACTGCCAAGAGCTTTGATTGTATACTTTTAAATAGGGTATCCCTAGTCCCAACATGGAGAACTCCCCAAATCAGGCCTTTAGAAACATTCAAAAGGCAGTGATTTCATAAAATAAAACGTTTACTCATTCCAGACCTGAAAATGGGGGGAATGCAAACTAAAGCCACAGTTATTTTGTATCTGTTAGCTACCAAAAAGTACTAGTAGGGAAAAATTAACCATAATTTTTATAATGTATGAGACTCTCTTCAAAACTAAAAGCACAACTACTTACTATAGGATCCACAATTCCACTACTGAGTACACATACAAAGAACCTGAAATTAGGATTCTGAAGATGTCTGCGCAGCACTACACACAACAGCCAAGATCCAGGGTAGCCTAAGCACCCATTAGCAGATACATTAAGAAGCTGTAGCATATATGCATATCGAAATTATTGTTCCTTAGAAGAAAGTTCTTATGAATCTGAGGATATCATGCTAAGTGAAACAGGATGGCACAGAAAGACAAATGTCATATGCTATTACTTGTATGTAGAATCTACAAACATCTAACAGAAACCGACAGTAAAATGGTGGTTCTGAAAGGCTAGCAAGGGGTTTGTCTGGTGGTAAATAAGGAAAAGCGAGATGTTAGTTATATAGAATGAGGAACTTTTGAATATCTAACACAAAGTATGGGGACTTTTTTTTTCTTAAGAAATATGGCAAACTATTAAGGTAAGCAAACAGCTCCCACTGGGATAGGAGGGGTCCCAAAACTGGGAATCCACAGACGGTGACTACTGTTGTTAATGCTGGTGTTTACTTGCAGTTCCCTAAAAGAATATGCCATAAACCACTGAAGCTATACAAACTGTTTTAATTATATATAGTGATGAATATGTTAGTTTGCTTGATTGTGGTAATCAAGATAACATACATATATAAAACCATTCCCCTATACATGGTAATGCATCCAGTTTTATCTGTCAAGAAAGCTAGAAAAATAAGTTTTGAGGATGCATCCAGTTTTATCTGTCAAGAAAGCTAGAAAAATAATTTTTGAGAAAATAGTAACAAGAAAAAATAGTAATTTGCTAAATACTTCTTTTAACTCATTTACCACTAATACCTACTACTCATTAAGGAATAGCATTTTCCCCCTTTCCGTATGAAGTATTGGGTTAAAACAGCATCTAGGGCACAGGAAATTTGTTCAGTGTAACTTGCAACTATACAGAATTAGAACTGAAACGCAAGCAGTCTAGGAAAATACCTCACATGTCCAAAAACACTGTAATCATACCTACACTTGCTGTACCAAGAAGGCCCATTTTCAGGTGTGGTAGTACACGTCTTTAACCCCAGCATTTGAAGCCAGCTAGAGTTACATAAAGACAGGTTCTAAATCGGGCAGGGGGCAACTGCCAAATTTAAGTAAAATAAATAAAAAAAAAAACAAATGTGGAATTTAAGCAAATTATAAGGGGGTATTTCTTGCTAATGAGTTGTGCTAAATTAGTAAAGATGGTAGTAAATCTAATATTTGAGTGTATTTTTAATGGTATTCTTATTAGTTAATAAAAACTTTCAAAAAATAGAGCTACACACTTATTTTCTCAGAGTCTGCCCTCTCTAAGAGAGGGTTCAGAGAGTGAAACAGGACTGTGTAAATGATGCTGAGTAAGATTTAATCTTATAGACTCCAGCCACCGTAACACAGGAACACTACCTTGGCAAAGGATAAGGTCAATTTAAAAAAGATTCAGAAAGTACTTTTGGTAGGAGTCTTTCCAACTCATCAAGGGAGATTTAAGTTGAAAAAAATACAAAAACAAAACAAAATAACAACCCCCACCCACAAAAAAAAAAAAAAAAAAAAAAAAAAAAACAAACCAGAAAGAAAGAAAAGAAACTAGTTTGCAGTAACATGAGAAAGGCACTGGACTTCCCATTTTGTACGTGGCTCACACACACTTTAATGATCACTTTGGAAATGGCTAATTCAGATCATAAGTTATTCAGTATAATTATGTAATAATGATTACTATACCAGATGTTCATCTCACAAAAGAACAGAACAGAGTTTCGTATCTTTGGTGAACATACTAAATACAAATGAAAGTTTTCATGACAAAGCTATCTTTTAACAAAAAAAAAAAAAAAAAGACCCTGATAGAGCATTACATTTGTAACGAAGAGTAAGTCCTCTTTCCCTCTTTCCTTTCTTTTTGAGAGCGGATTTTACTATGCAGCCGAGCAGGCAGTCTTTGAACTTGCAGAAGTCCTCCTGACCCTTGCATTTCATGCTTTTGTGATTTAGGATTATATTTCTCTGACCTGCACACACAAAAATTTCCCCATAAGCCTTCAAAAATGCCTCTAGATGGCAATACTCTTCCTGCTGTGAACTATCCCATAGCACAGGCTGTATCCTGCATACATGTATGGCACATATGAATGCATACATGAAGACACACGAAGTACATTTTAAATAAATGTTTTTAGAAGTTATATTAACACACCATTTGCCACAATTACTGAGTTTTGGCCACTTGTACATTCTGTGCCAAGAAGAATGCCTTGTTGAAAGGCCTGGTCTTCAGTGGATCTTCAAAATAAGCAGAGCATTTTGCTGATTAAACATCAGAATACTCAGAGGCCATTATGCATCCACATTTGTACTTCTCAGGAGCTTACACTTCAAGAAATAGCTAAACTACTTGATTATTACTTAACAGACAGCATCTTGCACCCTGGGCCAGGCACAAGTGTACTTCAGGTACAAATACTGATGTAACAGACCCACAGGGAAAGGGCAGGCTAGTGTCTTATTTGCACACAGGATATATTTAAGCCCTTCTTGGCCTTAGGAATACCTGTCAAATGGGTCAAGACATTAAATTCTGGCAGGTTAAGAAAATAGATCTGTAATCCTAGGACTCTCGAATTAGACAGGAGGATCAACTCAAGTTCTATGCCAGCCTGGTCTACATAGACAAGTCCAGGCCAGCAAGGGCTACATAGACCCTGTCTCAAAACACAGTGCTCCTTCACAATCACCATAACACCACTGCCAGCTACCACCACCACAAACCAAGAAACAAAAAGAAAAAGAAATCAAAATGTCTAATAAGCGATAGCTGGCAGCTGTCTCCACCCTATATACCCTTTTCTGATTGACCTCCCCTTTCTTTTGGTTCACCCCCTTTACTGCGGGTGATTCCTTCTCAGGAAAGCACACCCCTTTGCAGAGTGACTCAATTCCTCTGCATCACCCTTTCTGGTGACACCCTATTCGCTGCTGAGTGACCCCCCCTCTTTGGATGGCCCCTTTTCACTGGGTTACCCCGTCTGTGGATGCCTCCCCCTACAGCTAGGTCAATCCTCTTCCCCGGGTCATTTCTTCCTCTGGGTAACCTCTGCTCGGGATGATTCCCGTATCTAGAAGATACTCCCTTTAAATCTTCTGGATCACTCCTTCTGGTGTTACTCTGCCCCCTAAATGACTCCCTTTTCTGGATGACTCCCTTTCTGCTGTGTCACTCTCTTCCCCTAGATCACCTCCTCCTCTGGTCACCTCCTGTGTATGGCCCCTCCTTTTTGTGACCCTTTTTTCCCTGGGTCACCCTTTCTCTGGATAAGCTCCCTTCTTCTCTACCACACTTTCAATGTCACCTTTTCTTCTGGGTGACCCCTTTTTTCTTTGGGTCATCCTTTCCGGAGTCACCTATCACATCCCCCCCCCCCCCCCCCCCCGCCCCCCCCGGCCCACCGCCACCCCCCCCCCCCCCCCCCCGTGTCTGGACCCGAAGGCCAAGCTGGGCACCATACTCACCCTGCTCCCGCGGGATGCGCACCAGGCAGTCCACCATGCCCTTGTAGCGCTTCTCGGGGCTTATCTGCTTGGAGGACGCCTGCACCTGCAGCAGAAGCTTCACCCGCTCGATGGGTGCCACAGCTGTCTTCGACACGGCGGCCGCGACCCCTCCAGCCAGCAGGTCCCTGGCAAAGGACACAGGGTCAAACAGCCCCTTCTTCGAAGGTTGCTTCCTGGAGGATTCCCTCGACATGCTGGACAGAGAAGGACCAGAGGAGAACAGACAACCGACAGCAGCAGCGCCACACCAAGACCCAAGCGACAATGAGGAGAACCGGAAAACGGCTTCAGCTTTATCCTGGCGGGAAAGCGGCGCTAAGGATGCCGGGAGGACAGCGCCTCCTGAGAGCTGCGCAGGCGCGTCCAACGGCCCTGCCGCCTGGCGTGGGGCATGTGACCGCAACACGTGCTTCCAGGTGCGCATGTGCAGTACACCGCTGCTGTTCTGGCGCTCGTGGGTGGGCACTGATTGCTCCTGCCGGGTGGAAGCCTACGCCTACCCTATGATTAATGGAATCCGCAGTTTACCCTGCTTTACGCATCACGAGCCACACTCTAGCCAGGTGCTGCATGCATGTAATCGGGGCAGGTGCAGGTGCCCTCGGCCACCAGCAAATTGGAGACCAGCCTGGGCTACATGAGCTTTTGGCTTAAATAGACGTCACATTCTGCTTTAACAGGGACCGTTTGTCTAGTCACCCTGGACATACGGATTTGCTGGTTCCTCCTCAGATGTCAACATGTTCTCTGTCATACTTTATTTAAACTGAATTTTCTATTGAATGGTGATCCCCGACTGAGAGCGAACATTCAGGGGAAACGGGACAGGGGCAAATTGTGTTGTTGGCTTGTTTAAATTGATGTATTAAGTATCAGGGTTTCTCTTTGTAGCCCCGGTTGGTCACGAAATCCCATGTAGACCAGGCTGGTCTCGAACTAGTAGAGCGTTACCTGCCTCTGCCTCCGGAGTGTACCACCCTGTCTGGCGCTCCCTCTGGGGAATTCTACTTTGCAGATTCAAGAACTAATGACTTTCTAAGACAACAATTCACTTTTTTTCCTCCACAGAACCTTTCTTTTAAAACGTATTAAAGTCTACAGAAACATTTTTTTGCTGTTATTGTTATTAAATATGCTAACAAGGACCATATTAAAGATATTTAAAAATGTCCACTTACCCAGTTAAAATAGTGAAAAATCTATTGCAGAGATAATCAATAATTTTTTAATTATCATTTTAAAAAAATTGTGAATCAGGATCTCAATTTAGCCCTGACTGGCCTCCAACTTATGGTAAAATTCCCATTTGAGCCTCAGGAGTATAAGCCACCATGTATAGCTAAAAATACATACACACACACACACACACACACACACACACACACACGTGTGTGTGTGTATATATATATATATATATATATATATATATATATATATATATATATGTTTTTTTAAGAATTTATTCTTTGACAGTTTCGTGTATTTAGTGAAATTTTAGTCGTTTTGAAGGAAATCGCCAAGTTGACTTTCTAGCTGCCTTGAGAGGCATGGGTCACAGGTTTTTCAGGTTAGAGTCCTTGACTCCTGAGACGCTTGTGTGCCTTTCAGTTCCTGAGAAACAAAGGCACTCCTGCAGGCAGTGAAGTATTCCCTTGAAGTCAGTGAAACACACAGAGGTTTGACAGGCCAATTAGTCTTAAACATACATCTTGTGTATCCTGTATAGCTTGCAAACATCATAGTATCCTAGCTACTAATGTTGTGTTGATCCTGGAAACTGCCACTATAGTCTGTATCTGTTAAGGATATAAAAAGTCTGATTGCTTGGAATAAACTTGTGATAGTCTCACATGTCTGGTTAAGATTCATTTCTCATCAGCCATGTCTTCCCTCCCTTCCCTCTCTCCTTCCCTCCCTCCCCCTCTCTCTGCTTTCCACTGAGTTTGCTTAGGATTGCTTGTATGAGCGGGGTGGGGAGGTTATTTTCTGAAGCATGGGCTACTTTTCAGTGGCTGGGGCACTCTCCACCAGAAGCTATCAAATACTGTTTGCCTCTTGGGGTGCTTGGGGCTTCTTGTGCCTCTTCCAGAATCCAAGAGGCTATGTTGCTATGACCAGTCTTAATGCAGGTAACTGCAGGTGCAGTGAACTCACAAATGCAATGTGTCCAGAAGATTTGGATTTTGTGGCACACCTCCTTACCCTCTGGCTCTACCAGTCTTTTGCCCCTTCTTCAGTAATGCTCCCTGAACCTTGGAGGGGTGATATAGATACCTCATTTAGGGCCAACCACGGCACCATTACTTATTCTTAGCAGTTAGATCAGTTCTGGTTTGTCTCGCATTAACTATCGTTTGTAGCTACAAGGAGGCCGAGAGCAGCCCTGATCTATAGGTAAAAACATGAGGACATTGTTCATTTAGAAAAAACAACAGTAAGTAGGACCCCCACTGGGGTTTATGAACCCTCAGCCATGGGCTCTTGGCCAGGTTTACAGTGCCACAGCTCCTTCTTGTGGTGTGGACCTCAGATCCAAGAAAGCAGTTAGTTATGAAGCCACTGCTCCAGCAGTGGGCCCAACTTGACTTGCAGATTGCCATTACAGCTCACGGGGTTCACAGCTGGGTGACAATATTGCTGGCTCTTCTCCCCGGTCAGCCATGCTGCACTTCCCTGCAGCATGGAAGCTAGCTATAAGGGAGGATGAAATACATTTTCCAAAATTATGTACATCTATATCTATCTATCTATCTATCTATCTATCTATCTATCTATCAATATAAAATTGAGTAGTATTTTTATACTTTTGAAAATTTAATACTTGACAAAAGATAGTTGGATTAAACACCACTGCTTTCACTTTTCTGCAATATTATACACGTAACCCCCTAGAAAATTTCTTCTATTGTATCATTAGGACAGAATGAAAGTGGGAAAAAAAAAGCCACTTAAGTCTCAACAACATTAAGAAAAGACTTTTATTTTCATGGAGTCCCAAAAGGGCTCAAGTTCACCAAGTCTGCCCTTATCCCACACTTGAGGCCTCTTCAGAAGCTGATACCACATTCAAGAGTCTTCTGGTAAGAATTGCCCCAAGAATGTCTCTTTCTTTTCTTCTATCTGGATTTTTTTTAATCCCATATACCAGATCCCACCATGGCATCATATATACATTCTTAATTTCTTTTTAAAGCATGTTTACTACTTTTCAGTAGGTCGTCTGCCTATCCTTCATGTGGTATGACCCACCAAGAGACACTTTTATTGGAAGATGGATGAGTTTTAGCTCTCTTGAACACAAGGACTTAATTTTTCATTGCTATCTCAAGCATGCTATAACTTCTCTAGTTTTGTGTCTAGTAAGGAGACAGCTAGGCCAGGACTGCAGACCAGAAATCTTGTTAATAGTTTGACTAGTGCTCGTGACATTAATTGGCAAATTTTGCCTCCACGCACTTCCATCTGCTTCACTCACCCATTCTGCTAGTGTTATCAGTTTATCTTTCCATTTAATATACCATGTCTAGATTAATCTTCCTGAAGCAGCCATTTTAATCATCACCCATAGACTTCTTAAAAATATTAGTCGCCTCATCACATTGATTTCAAGTTCCTTTATGAAGCCCACTACTGATTTCAGAAATGATCAGTTTTTTATTTGGGGAGACCTGTAAGGAGAGATGTTTCAGTCTCAGTTAAGTAATGAAGCTGGTCAACAAGAATGCCAGCAAAAATGGGAGATGTTAATTTAATTACTCTACAAATAAAACTGTATTTTTTTTTTAAAGTAAGAATCTATCTCTGGTCACTGGGGACAAAACAAACAAAAAACAAAAAACCAGTCTGCTGCCTTCAATGCTGTTTCCTTGTATGCTCATGTCTAACTTGACAGCTGGCAATATTATTGCTTATTCCTCTGTGATGCCATCTCCATCCAGTGATACAAGGCCAGTGAGAAAATATCTACTTAACATGAAGGGAGTTTAGTCAAGTTGTCAAAGTCTAGACCTGAAACTGAGTGATTGCCTGTGTGACAATTTACTGATTCAAGGAAGGAAGTTCTAGTGATTTTTTTTGGGGGGGAGGGAGTCTTTTTTATTATTTTTAAAAATTTATTATTTATTACAATTTATTCACTTTGTATCGCCACTGTAGCCCCCGCCCTTATCTCCTCCCAGTCCCATCCTCCCTCCCCCTAGTCCAATGATAGCAGAGGTCCTCCTCCCCTTCCCTCTGACCTGAGCCTATCAGGTCTCATCATGACTGGCTGCATTGTCTTCCTCTGTGGCCTGGCAAGGTTGCACCCCACAGGGGAAGGTGATTAGAGAGTAGGCCACTGAGTTCATGTCAGAGAGCCCCTGCTCCCCTTACTAGGGAACCCACTTGGAGACTGAGCTGCCATGGTCTACATCTGTGCAGGGGGTCTAGGTCTTCTCCATGCGTAGTCCTTGGTTGGAATACTGGTTTCTGCGGGACTCCCTCTGCCCAGGATTTTTGGCTTTGTTGGTATCCTTGTGGAGCTCCTGTCCCTTCCAGGTCTTTCTATCTCCCCCTTCTTTGATAAGATTCCCTGCACTCTGCCCAAAGTTTGGCTATGAGTCTCAGCCTCTGCTTTGATACCCAGCGGGGTAGAGTCTTTCAGACGCTCTCTGTGGTAGTTTCCTGTCCTGTTCCCTGTCTTCTCCCACTTTCAATGTCTGTCCTGTTTGCCCTTCTGAATGAGGATTGAGCATCTTCCCTAGGGTCCTCCTTATTGTTTAGCTTCTTTAGGACTATAGATTTTAGTATGTTTATCCTATATTATATGGCTAATGTCCACTTATAAGTATATACCATGTGTGCCTTTCTGCTTCTGGGTTACTTCACTCAGGATGATCTTTGCTAGCTCTCACCATTTGCCTGCAAATTTCATGATTTTCTTGTTGTTAATTGCTGGGTAGCATTCCATTGTGTAAATGTATCACAATTTCTGTATTCACTCCTCGGTTGAGGGACATCTGGGTTGTTTCCATTTTCTTGCTATTATGAATAAAGCTGCCACTAACAGTTCTAGTGATTTTAACTGATATAAAAGTACCCGGGCTAAGGGCCTATGTGTTCTCTCTCCTCATGAATTAGCATGGTTACATTTTCTCAATTGGGTCTGAGGTCCCTTCAGCAAACCCTCTCTGGGCCACCCTGTTTGCCAACTTCACTACATTTTCTTACTTCCTTGTTAATTCTCTTAGCAATCCTGCGGCATACTTTATCTTATTTGTGGTCTCCCTCTGCCATGGGAACACAAACTCTTTGAGGACAGAAAGCCTTACTTATTTTGTTCACTGCTGCACCTGCAGTGTTTGGCAGTGCGTGGCAGTGGGTAGAAGTTCAGGAATCATTTGCTGGGTAAGTGTATGTAAAGGCAACATAAGGATAGCAAGGTGCAGTGGTTTAAGGTAGCCACTGCCAAGCATGATGACACACGTTTCATCCATAGGACCCACACAGTAGGAAGAGACAGTAAACTCTAGTTGTATACCTCATGTACAACTAGACCTCATGTGTGCCTTAGCACACGGGCCTTGGTGCTGTTATGTGAGCACAAACACATATGTGCGCGCGCTTGCACACACACACGCGCACACACACACACACACACACACACACACACACCCAAATGTAATATTTTTTAAAGGCAAACATAATACTTCAAGCATTTAAAATTCTGGATAATGTAGAAAAATAGCTTTAATTACATACAGAAATAAGACTCTTCATAATTAAATTAGTTCATATGGTTTGGTGTGTAGGTTCAAGCTTTAATAGAACTTACCATTAAAAAAAATTGAAAATATAAATCCTTATTCACAAAATTATTCTGAGAAGTAATTTTCTGAGACCATCCCTGCCATGTGGTGCAGTAATAGGTATGCCAATGCTGTTTGCTTTGGTTCTCAAGCAGTGGCCATCTAATGACAAAAGGTAGCCACAGCTCACGCTTTAACCATGTGACAACCATGGTTTAGAGAGAACACACAGAAACAAACAATGGCAGACAAACGTAGTAGGATGGTTTCACAGTTTTTTTCAATTGGTGTCAGAAATATGTAAAAGCAATTATTTTACAATTGCTGTTTTGTTAGGTATGTATCATTATCCACAGTCCATTGGCACAAAAAGTAACACACTTCCTAACCTCTTAGGGACAGTTCTCCATGACATGACAGAAACTAAAGAAAGCTAAGAACAGAGAGAAGGGAGAGGAGAAGGGAAAGCAAGAGTCTAAAATTTCTTTGTACTGAGCAAGTACTTATGTTTTTGTTGTTTGTTTGAACTAGGGTCTTGTTATGTAGCCCTGCCTGTTCTTGAATTTATTATATCCCCCTGCCTCAGCCTCCTGAATACTGGGATTACAGGCATGTGCCACCATGCCTCACTATGTCTGATTTTCTAAGAATACCAGGTAGGCAACGTCTTTTACTTTCATATGATGCTACAGTGTTATAGGGATATCTTGGGTGACTGTCTAGTCATTTCTATAGTTTTGGAAGCTGCTTGCTCTGCACTTCCTGTTTATTTAGATAATATTAATCCTTCTCAGGTGGGTGGAAGACTAGTATAATCTTACAATTAAAATAAAGTTCTTTAGAAGTAACCATGGCTTTAGCTTGTTTTTTTTTTTTTTCCTTCTTTTCAGTGTTTTAAAGCGGATTTTATTTTCTAATTGTGTGTTGGGGTACTTGTTGAGGCCAAAGGATTCCCTAAAGTTACAGGTGGTTTTGAAATGCCTGGCCTGGGGGCCAGGAGCTGAACTCAGGTCTTTTCCAGTGAGGTACTTGTTCATGACCTCTGAGACATCTCCCCAGTCCCCTCTCAGTGTTTCCAATGTGATTTGGTAGAGTTGCTGTAAATGTATATGAACCAGAATGTACTTCAACAAGAAAGAAAGCAATGGAAGTTTACAGATGATTACAAACATGTATCCTAATCCAAATGAAGTTTACCACAAAGAATAAAGGGAATCAAATAAATATAAATTAACTCTCACTGATATCCTTCCCCCATATCTCTGTAGTGAGATATCTACTAAAATACTTAAACTAATGCAAAGGATTCTGATTTTCTAAGAAACCAAAACACAGACATTGCAAATTTAGATACTGACCAATAAGCAAAACAAACAAACAAACAAACAAAAAAACCCCAAACCAAACCAAAAGGAAAAAAAGCAACACATTTTTCTTAAGTGGGCCTTTCACAGTCCCAATGCAATAATCATGTGGTTGTCCAGGTGCTCTGAGGTCTATCTGGTGCAAGGGCTCACTCACAGCACAGCACAGACTGCAGAACCTTGTCATCTCTTCAGTGCCATGATTCCTTTACCAGGTATCAGTCAGTACTGGACTTTAAGAAAAGCAATGAGTTGAATACGATCCCCCGATAAACATCTCCTATGTTAATTTTTTTATTAAAGAATTCACATTATTTAAAACTTTTCAATAAATTAGCATGGTATACCAAAATGGCAATAAGTTAGCAACCCTGACTCCACATCAGCCCGGATGTCTTATATAATACTACACATGATTTGATGCACCAACCCAACAGCACTGAGTCTCAGTATTAGCAGGATAAATTCAATACTGAACAATGAATACACTAAGCCTTCTCTTTATATGTTGATTTCAGCCATTCTAACACTGTCCCAGGGTCCATTTGTGTTGCTTTGCATCCTACAAACGTTGCTACAACGTTAATCCAAAGAACAATTTAAATGCCATTTCAATGGCAATTTCTGAGACGGAGTCATGAAAACAGACATACAGTTCCTGAGGTTTGGGATGAAGAAAGAGCCTTCTGTGGGGAGAAGGAAAAAAAAAACATGGTCATTTCAGAAATTAAAGATGATTAAAAGCCATTCTGTTTGTTTTTTGGTTTTGGGAGAATCACTAATAAACTGAAAACAAAAACACTACCTCCAAAATCTCAGGAATCTAAGTTTACAGAAAGTAGAATACATCTCAGTTTCTAAATAAACAATGTATATCTTAATTAACGTTACTGTCCTAGAGTGTAAAAACTCCTATTTAATCAATGCAGTCACCACACTCCTCAGTCTTAAATACATTGCTCTTCTTCAGAATTCCTGTATTATATTTGTATGATCTAGTACAGTGTGTGCATATATATGTAGATACTCATATTTTTGTATAAATATATAGATATATGTCAATATTGTATCTATAAACACACAGTGAGTACACATAGTTCATATTTCTTTACAACATGTAAGGCTTGGAGGTGCTGACTATATCTCTGCCTCTGGGTTCACTAAGCTATTCGCTCATCCATCCATTCTGTTTGCTTACATAACTCCCATCTACCACACCTTCATATTTCATCAAGTTGCTATTGAGTGCCAAGTGCAACTACAGATGGCAATGGTAGGGAAGACAAGTAAAAATCCTGATTTCACAAGGCTGGCATTCTTATGAAGGGAAAGCCAATAAGCAACCCCCCAAAAAAACAGTAAAGGGGATGGTGCAGAGAATGACAGAGTGCTGCTTTAGGAGCAGAAGGAAGTTCTTCATGGGTCCTCTTTGGGAACATAACCTGTCAGTGCTGATGGATATAAAAGCGGAAAACTCTTCCAAAGAAGAAAAGGCAGAAACAGCTGCCTAGGACCAACGAAGCTGGCCCACAGTGGACACACAGGCTGACACAGACAGGTTGGTCTTGAAGGAGTGTGTGGAAAAGGGAAGAATAAAAGGGAAGAGGGAAAGAAAGGAGAGACAAAAGAAAGAGATGTGGGAAAAAGAGCAAGGAAATGTGGAGGGGAGTCTTCTTAGTTATTTGAGAAGAACAACCTTGTTCCTGATCCTTCCTTCCTTCTTTCCTTCCTTCCTTCCCATCCCTTCCTTTACCCTTTCTCTTTTTTTTCTCTCTCTCTTTTTTAACTTCAACATTCTTCAATCAACTCCACCCCCCATTATCCTCTCATCTCTACTGGAAGGACAAAAAGGATCTATTTAGGAAAAAAAAACCCAAAAGTAAAAAATTAAAACTAGAATATATGAAAAGCTTTTAAGCTTGACGACAAGCCCAGGCCAAGTCGTTAAGACAGCAGGCACCCTTGCTACTTCCCCTTCACATTTCTAACCTCTTATTTTACACTTTACTCGAACTTACCCTACCACCCAGTAGCACATAACTGGTGGTGCTTTTTTCTGGTCAGTCCAGTTTTCAGGTGAACACTCGAACAGCACGCCATGTTCTTTCACAGGGGTCAGAGAAGACACCGAGTTTGCAGACTCTGAATCACCTCCACCACTTAGCGCTTTCTTTTTCTGTAAGTTAACATCTTTTCTGAGTATTAACTAGTATTGATAGTGTTACATTAAAATGTTTTGGACTGGCATGCAGCTCAGTGGTAGAATGCTTGCCTCGCATGCACAGAGCCCTGGGTTTGATCTCCAAAACTATAAAAATAAAATGGTTTCACATAACTATCTGATGGTGGTGATGTTGGCTGACTCTGGTACAACCTGTTTCAAATGTTATTCTTCTGTTAACCTCCAGAAAAACCAGTCCTTGTTTTAAACATTATCTCCTAAGATACATTATAAGCTTTCACCCTAGAGAGCAAGTACTGTTCCTCTCTCTCTCTCTCTCTCTCTTTTAAGACAGGATTTCAAAATAAAGCTCGGGCTGTCTGGAGCTTGTCTCAAACTTGTGACACTCATTTTGTCTCTTTTTCTGGGGTGGTTGGATTACAGACATGCCTCTTCATATTTGATCTGTTTTTTTTTCCCCTCTTTTTTAAGATAAGTGTGTGTGTGTCTACCCACAGAGGCCTGCTGTTAGAAGTTGTGTTCTCCAAACAGCCACACAGCCTTCTCGCTCTCCACTCATGCCTGTTCAAAAATGCTTGGCATGATCAAAGGGAACTGGTAAGACAGAAACCCATACTGCTCAGCCTGACTATGACTAATTTCCTCTTGACACTTGCTCTCCTGGATTTACTGTTTGTTAATTTATTTAGCTCCATCATTAGAAGACAGGCTTCAGGGAAAGGATTTAGTTTATTTTCTTTTGTAGCAGACTAGAATATTGTCTGGTGCAGAGCAGACATTTAACGCTTAATGAAGAAGGCCGATTTCTATTGCTAAATATGACCAAATAAGGTGAGAACACTCCCAGAGCAGCCACCAATATGTTAACATGGGAGGGGAAAGCTCAGGAACCGAAAGCAGGAGGGCTCCCTGGTCAAGCATAACACGTCTTGTTAATAATAATTTCTGAGAACTTGAAGGCGTGAAAGACAGAATTCCACTGCTGAGTCAACCATGAGAAGTGATTAATGCAGCTGGATTTCTATCCGGCTGAGAAAACAAGGGGAGTTAGGGCTCCTTACTCCCAGCCCAATTAATGTTCTTTTAAGCCCAAGCTCTTCACAAAATCGGTATGCTGTATACATCATAAGTATCTTGAGAGAGATATGCCTGGACAGATGTTAGATCATGTACAAAGTCCCCTCTCTTTCCTTCTTTTACTTTTTAAAGATTTATGTTTTTATTTACAAGTCTGTGTGTCATGGGTTGAGTTGAAGTGCATCACAGGTGCACAGGCGCTTATGGAGGCCAGACGCCATCAGGTACCCTGGAGCTGAAATGACAGGTGGTTGTGAGCTGTCGAATGTGGTGCTGGGAACCAAACCCCGGGTCTTCACTACTGAGCCACCTTTCCAGTTCTTCTTCCTTTTGTTGAAACAAGGTCTCATATAGCTCAGGGTACCCTCAGACTTCCTATGAGTCTGGAGATGACTTTTTGAATTTCCCATCCTCTTGCCTCCAAGTCAGGGGTGTTGGCATTACAGATGTGCACCACCGTACAGGTTTATTTAGATTAGGAGATGGGATTTAGGGCTTCCTGTTAGATAGGCACTTTACCAACCAGCTGAGCTGCAGTCCTAGACATAAACCTCTCAATATTTTCCCATAACGAGAGATCAATACCAGTTTTCCCATCACCACAAGAATTCAATTGATTTAAATTATATATAATATTACTAGTTAAGCAAGGGATACAACATTAAATGAAATTTCATCCCAGTCTGAAACACTAGCCACCAATTAACAAATGTCTAACCCACAAATATTAGATAGGAGAGGCTAGCTGATATTATAAACTACCCTTATGTCCTTGCTGTGGAAAACCAGGTCCACCATTTCCAGTGGTAAGATTCCAGGACACAGAACTTAACTAAAAGAAACACTGCTGGTCATGTTAAATAAAGAAAACAGAGTTATTGTGGTAGAAACCTATATTTAGATATTTACCTCTTCCTTCAATGTCTGCTGGAAAATTGCACGAATAGAGAGACAGCACTGATGGAAATTCTTTATTAGTTGAGAATGGATGGAACCACCTAGCTGAGCCACCTCTTCATGGGTGGGGGTGATGAAGATGCCTTGCATTGTTTCTAAGGCAACATAGTGGAAGAGTGTATTCTCAGGACCAGAGGTCAATCTTGAAAAGGAGAGAAGGAAATTTAAGTAAATTTAAAAGAATTATTTCTTTTTGAATTTTGTAGAGTTCTCACAAGATTATATGAACTAATATTAGCAGTACAGTTATGAACAGAAAGCTGAGCCAAACATTTAATTCCCTGTCCTTAACTAACGCATATGTCAGGCTATCGTTAATTCCCTAATGGAGACAAACAGTGCCAGCTATGGACGGATAAACATCAATTCATTTGCAAGTAACTTAAAGTCTCTTCACTAAATAACCAAATTGGCTAAGCCCTCTTTTTCCATGGTTTGTAATGAATAACTTAGCTCATGTTTGGCATAGATTTCAACAAGCCACAAAATGGTAGCGGTTTAGAGTGGGGCACAATACAGTATTAGCTCTACCAAAATAAACTCATTGAAATCAACAGCACTAAACTTCTTTGCCATGGCAACAACAATGATGACCCTGAAGAAATATAAAATTATTAGCAATCACAAGGTTAGATTACTCTCTCTACACTACTGCAACCTTCTCACTGATATTTTGTTTACCACTCTAAAGGCAGTAGAACCTGAGAGAATAAGGCCTAAAAACGAGGCTGCCTAAAGTCTCATGCAATAGCCAACTTTATTTAGAGCATCAGACAACTTATACTGTGAGGGTTAGGAAGAGTCACTTGAGTAAAGTGTACAATCATAGAGGTAAGTCACATGTGGCAAAAACATGTTTTTCCATAGAGGCATATAAACAAATAACAATTGCCAATTGTAATGAATAATCTGAAGTAAACTCAGTCCCTAACTGCTTCAACTGGGAGGGGCTTGGAAGCACATTCCAAAAACAATTCCGTATTTTTGAAGAAACTGAGGTCACAAAACTCTTGTTTTGGTTTCTTGGAATTTTCTCACAAGCACCCAGAATTCTCACACAACTCCATTCTTAGACCATGTTCCAACAATATTTGCTTACTGTTTTCAGTTTTTCTTTCTTTACCATTCTTCCCCCAATATTTAATCTCAGATAGATCAGCAGAGCCTATAAATAATGTCTAAGTTTTCCCAAAGGAAGATTTAAAAGAATAACAAGAAAGTAAGAAACAATAATAGTGACCATGAATGTCTTCTATGTGACACAGTGTGTGCTTGAAAGTACCTTAACTGTAATTTTCATAATGACCATGCATGATATTAAATGTTTTGTGCTCCTTGTTGCGATGGGGATGGAGTGTCTCACACTGGGATGAACCTGATTTCAGTTCCACTGCCACGGAAGGCTTGGCTGACTTTTTAGCCTGTTCTTTCTGTATCCTGTCTTTTCCTCTCCGCTGCTGAGTTTTGGGAGTTGGGAAGGCAATTCAATACACCCAGGGAGGAAAACAGGAACCTTCATGAAAAGTGGTATCAGGGGGGTGGGGAGTGGTTGAGACTGTTGAAATACAGAGTGGATATAACTTTGCCATTGAATAAAATGCTTGGTGTAAAAGATATTTCTTATGTCATATACTTACAAAGGCAGTACATACAAGTTAGAGTAATACAATACATTTATCTAATAACATGGTTTTAAAGTGAACTTTCCATATCATTAATGAATAAGTTATACATGATGGGCACCTTTTATGGTAAGAAAACCTATGGTTTATACATGTGGATTTGTATAAGCTATTATACTTGAAACAAAGTTTCTTTTTACTAGATATAATGTCAAAACAATGTATGTATTTTTAAAAAAAGATGTGGCAGTAATGACATGATCATAAATTTTGCAGTTAATTGCTAAATGGAGGACTAGGGTTTTCAGTTTACCACTTGGATTCAAGTTTATTTGTTTAAAAGTATTTTAACTGTTAAAAATTAAGCACTCACATAGGAAGATATTAAATACCAAATTTTAACCCATTAGATTTTGAGAGCAGTATTTTAATCGAGTAAGTTATCTTACTTTTGCCCCAACTTCAGATAAAAAGCATTTCTTGGCACTGCTATTCACACACTTGCACTCAGAGAATAGTTCCTTTAGAAGGTGGTGGTTATGCACCCATTCTTCCCGTGTATGAGAAATCTATTTCTACATATTTCATTGCTTAAGTGCAATTAATTTTGTTCTACCAGTTGGTCCCACACATGACATCAAAATTAAATAACAAGGCAAGAAGATTCTGGCAGATCAGGTAGCTAACCACAAAAACAAAACAAAACAAAACAAAACAAAACAAACAAACAAACAAACAAACAAAAACCCAATAGAAGAAGTGGCTATGGGGCTAGGTTTAGCTCAGTCAGGAAAGTGATGGCCTTGCAAGCATAAGGTTTAGAGTTACATCCCAGAACCCATGTAAAAAACTGGGCAAGGTGGTGCACATTTGCAGCTTTAGTTATGGAGAGGAAGAGACAGGTGCTGGGACCTGAGGCTCACTGGCAAGCCAGCCTAACAAGCTTAGTTAACTCCAGGCAGTGAGTTAAAAGACAAGCCAGGGATGTCCCGAGGAATGACAATCAAGGTTATCCTCTAGCTTTCACACACCAGCATACTCAAGTGTATCTGCACACACACACTCTCTCATGCGCGCACACACACACACACACACACACACACACACACACCACACACACACACACACACACACACACACACACACACACACACACACACACGGGGTGGGGGGCTCATAAACACTTCATAAGAAAATTACACGTTCCTTCTTTATTTAGGTCTTTTTACCCCAGAATTCCTTATTCAGTGTAAGTTGGAGTTTTTATCTATCTGTTCAGGACCAGTTTTTAGGATCCATATTCTGAGAGGGAGTCATACAGGGAGAAGTTAGTAAGATGTGTTCTATGAAACCATAGAGGAGGAGGATGTGATGCGAGCAGGACATGGCAGAGAGAGAAGCTGAATTGTGCTGCCATTGCTACAGAGGTCTTGCATGTACCACCTGGAACCAGGAAGCTGGGATGGCCTTTCACAGTTGCCTTGAATTTGGGCAAACGGCCAACACTTTATTCTCTAGAAGTTAGCATTCTAAGCTGTATGCCATTGGCAGATATCACTTCCAGCACGGGGCTAAGGATAACCAGGCATCTACTGGAGTCTAAAATGAGCCTTTAAACTTTAATTTAAAAAACAAACATCCAAAAGTACGTTAACTGGGATAGAAAGGTAAAGATAACTTTCACATTTCAAAACACTACTTTTGATGTTTTCATTTCAGTACGAATATGTTCATTTCCCCAAACATGTAATGAAACAGTACAAAATCACCATAAATATGACCACCTGTCTGTGAGCTATATCATAATTACGCTTGTTAAATCATCTCTGTACTATCTCACTGTAAAACCTCTTCAAAGACAAGAAATTTAAGTGAAAAGGCATGCTAGAAGTTTCTTACTTCACCATGTTATAGACTTCCAGGTCATTTTCTGAAAGTTCTTTTTTCAAATTTCCCAAATGAAACGGATTTGGAAGCGTTGACTTCTTTCTAGCGAGCTGGAAAATAAGTAGGTCAGTTTAATCTAAGAATAGGATCAAATACCAGAAATGATTCAAAGACTTAAAGCCTTCTAGGAGCACTGTTTTTGTGATGCGTCCTTTAAATACTGTTGACGCGTATCTACATCACGCATTCTTGTCTTTCTTACAGCTTAGTGTACCTTAGTAGGAAACTTACAGGAACAGCAGGGAAGACAGACAATATTAAAAACATGGACTTGTATGTAGGACAACTCACTTAGACAAGAATAGGGAATGGATGAGTCTACTGTATGGCAAAAATGCTACAAACACCATTCAGTTGCTGTCAATAAGAAATTTACTTATTCAGAAAATCCATTTGTGTGTGAATTTTTAATATGAGTCTAAGATGTAAAGCATTAACGCAAGCAAAATGTTTCAGTGAACACATTTCAACAGTTCAACTTTACAAAAATTACAAATAAACCTGTTAAAACTTTCTGGACCATACATGTCTTATTCTTTGGCAAGGAGGATTCCAGGGTCAAGTCATAGTGAAAACTTCCCAGCAATTCCATTATCAAACACACAGACACACACACACACACACAGACACACACACACAGACACAGACACACACACACACACACAGACACACACACACACACACGTACTATCTCTATCCCTGCTGTCTGAACTCCTCAAGGTCACAGATCTGTGTCTTATTCATGGCATCTTACAAGAGCTTGGCTATTCATAATTTACCCAAATCCTCTTGGTCTCTGTTTCCTACTAATTTTTACCAACTGAGATAACAGGTTCTAGCTAGGATGCAAAACGTACATGAAATAAATACATTCTATTCATGGCTTCAACAGCATTCCATTGTTTGTGCAGAGGAGAGGGAATATCTATGTTTGTGCATGTCACACTGCTCAGAAGCACTGTAGGCCATTTCAAATTTAGCCTTCCTTCTGCCTTGTCTGGTATCACCTCCATTCTCCTGATGGCAAGTTTCAAAACTGTCTGGAGAGACATAGGCATCCTAGGAGTAAGTGTAAAGCTCCCAAGGGTAACGATGATGTTGACGACTGCTTGGGTATCTCATGGTATGTATGGGAAAAGTCAAGAAGAGTCATAACCTCAAGTATGAACATCTTTTTTACACAGTCACATTTTTAATGTTTGTGACACTCACAGGTATAGATTAGAACTTCAACTTATTACAAGTTGGCATGTCCTCTTCCCCATTCTGATTATTTGGTTCTGTTAAATATTTTACTGACTAGTTAGACTGACACTGAAACTGTTCCTGCCCCCCTGCTAGGATGCTCTGTCATCCTTATGAGCGTAGAAGAAAAGCTAATGAATGTGATCTCAGCTGAAGCTGCTCTCCCTGTTAGCACTGTCAAATGAATGTCCTAGATGTCAAGGGGATCGTGTGTTGGCACTTGGTATTTCTTTCTCTTTTCAGTTCTACGTCTTTGGTTTTTCAGTAATGACATAAAACACCTACCATTTCAAATAAGGTACACTCTCCCAACCTAAAAAAAAAAATCGTCTAACAGTTATCACTCACAGTGCAGACATTTGAACAAACACATACCTTAAGCAAGGCCACATTGTCGTCTGAGCCATCAGATTCTCTTTGCTTCCGTACTGCATCTGGGGTAGTATGTGGGCTCAGACCAACACTTTCTCCCCCTTCACCAGGCTCACATCCTCCACTGCTTCTGGAGGGACTGGGCTTTCGTGCCTTGAAGGAATAGTCACTGAAGAAGGTTCTTCTGCATGTTGGAGAGGTTGCTGTTTTGGAAGGCCCCTGGAGCCTACTGAGGATAGGTGAAGTAGTCAGACCATCCACCTTTTCACGTGGTACAGCAAGGAACCAGTCAGCGCAAGACAAGCACGGCCCCAGAGGTGTGGCTAGCCGCTCCTCTATGCGGGAGTCTATTCCTTCCAACTGATGAAGAGTTGCTTTGACCTGATCGACATAGATACAATCTGGACCAGGGGTACCAATAGCTTTAGATGCACAGCCTCCGGCTTCTAATAGCACACACAACATATAATGTCGCTGTAAAGAAAGATTGGTACAGGTTCAGCTGCCATGAAAGTATCTAATATAGGGGCTGGAGAGATGGCTCAGTGGTTAAGAGCACTGTTGGTTCTTCCCAAAGGACCCAGGTTCAACTCCCAGCACCCACATGGCAGCTCACAACTGTCTGTACCTCCAGTTCCAGGTGATCTGACACCCTCACACCAATGCACATAAAATAAAGTTAAATTATATATTAAAAAAAAGAAAATATCTAATATAGTCCATATGTATAAGCTTGTGAATACTAAAGACATATAGGCATTTGCTAACTCATAACATTTGCTAACATTTCATAACTCAGTGAGTTATGAAAATCTCTCCTTCTTTCTCTTTTCAGCATCATCAAAGCTTCTTGACGCAGAATGAAAACCATCTTACGTGCTTCATTTTGATAAAGCATCAATTCACCATCAATCATTTCTCTTAGTCTTCAGAAGTTCCTAAGGTAACGTTGAAATAGCTTCCATTATCACTACTATCATTTTAGATGATTTATGTACAGTCCAGGCTGCCTTCAAACTCAAACTTGCGATCCTCTTGCCCCACCCCTCCAAGTGCTGGAATTACAGGAATCATCACCATGCAGGGCTTGAATATATATTGTTTCATGTTTTCCAAAATAAGTCAAAGGACAAAACCATTATAGGAAGGGGAATAACACACCTTCAGACCCTGCTAAAATCCTACACTGGATTTTACTAATATTTCCTCATGAGGATTAAATAGATACAGAAGAAAGAGAATAGAGAGGCCTACAACATTTTCTTGAATACAAGTAATTAGTATATTCATACTCGTGAACAGACATGCTTGTTAAAAGTTATAAAATGAAATTCAAGAAAAAAGTACCTACTCACCAACCCAACAATCAGTAAAAAATATCTCCCTTCAGGTTCCTGGAAGACCTCGGTGTCTGAGCCTGTAGGAGGCTGGAGGTGATGTCGTGGGAACACTTCTCTCCATATTATCAGCTGACCAATTCTCTGCTTTGCTGCTAAAGGCAGCAGGCAGTACTGGCGACAGTAGGTAGCAATCTCAACAACATCATCCTTAGGCAGATGGCTGCACACCAAATAACCCTGGGATTTAATCCCAAAGAGCCAAAGTCAGCTAGTAGCACAGAGCAATGATCCCGTGTTTCTAAGAGTTTTGTAAAAACCTCAATAGCAGGCTTAAAATCATGTAGTTTTAAAGGGACTAAGCTAAGATTTGGCAGAAGTCCATGCTTTTGATCTGGGTTAAGCTGCAGATCAAGTTTGACAACTTAGGGAACTCAGCAGACAGGCTACTCCCCAAAGCAAGATCCTACCTCAAGTAGGATTATCTTGAGTGGTTGGTAGAACTAGAACTACCAAGATTTGTTTTAGGTTTATGAATATAGCAGTTGGATGGTGATAAATATTTCAAGCTTCAGCTTACCTTGTAGAACAGAGAAGACCCCAAAATTGTATACAGCCGTCTCATGTCATAGTAGTCCTCGGACTGGAGGGAAATCACAGTTGGTTTATAATGTAGTACTTATTTATTTATTTTATGGATAAGATAAAAATAGTCCGTTTAAACTGCAATAGTTGAAGTGGAGATTACAATCATTGGAAACAGCTTGCTATGGTATTGACATCAAATGCTGAAGGACCCAGGTGAAAGGCTGATGTGTTTACTTCCTACGGCACAATGGAACACACAGCATTTGCTATTCCAATCCACGATATCCGATATTACTATGCTCTACTTCTGAAAGCGCAGATTAGCACAATCTATTTGTGGGCACACATACTATGGGAGTAATCCCTTCTCTAGGGATCTACAAGATGACTGAGTGAATCAAGACATTTTTGTAAGAGTCAATAGTGAAGATACACAGGTATACTCATACATGTAAAATAAAATAAATTTAAATTAATTAAAAAAAAAAGAATGTATTTGGTTGGGCGGTAGTGGCACACGCCTTTAACCCCACCACTTGCAATAGTAAAATTTGGAAGTTAGCGATAATGCAATGCTCAGGAATGGAGGGATGATCAGCTAAGTTTGATGTTGTGTTGGAGAATAGCACAGGTATTAGAAGAGCGCAGGCATAAAAGTTGCAGGATGTACTGCTCAGCGAAAATTCGAGTTCCAGAACAAAGCACCACTGCACCCAGTTTTTGCTGAATGGTGTGCATGCACACACTATGTATATCCATACGTGTAAAACTGCACACACTATGTATACCCACACATGTAGGGGTCTGTGAAGGAATAGAAGGATACAGAAGTCTCGAAAGATCTGTTCCAAGCTCTGAAAACAATCATGCCTGGGATGCCAGTGGGAGAGGATGAAGAGAAATATTTCTCTTCCTGTAACTTGCATCTGCTAATGTTATACTGAACATAGAAGACATGGAAAATCAGAAATAAGCTTAGTATCTTTGAAACTGTATTGCATTCATATGATGCACTGCTACCCAGCAATAAGAGGACTGAACGGAGCTGGGCATGGTGACACAGGCCTGGAAGCCCAGAGCTCAGCAGGTTGAGGCGAAGGAGCTGCAAACTGGATGAAGGAAAACAGTATCATCAGCTCCTTTGCGTCTATTACCCAAATTTGAGTAGGTGAGTGTGCAGTTCATCTTATTTCCCCAGACTTTGCTCTTTCTCTCTCTCTTTCTAAATTATTTACAATCAATCACAGATATAATTCTGCAAATAACTTCAGAATGTACCCTAAGAGGCTGGAGAGATGGTTCAGCAGTTAAGTCTTACAGAGGACCCAGGTTCAGTTCTCAGCGCACATGGGCAGAACACAACCACCTGCAACTCCAGTTTCAGGGGATGCTACGCCCTCTTCTGGCCTCTATGGGATCAAACATGCACAAGGTACACATATATATACTCAGGAACACTCATACATGTAAAATAAAATTTAAATTAATTAAAAAAAAAAAGAATGCACTTGGTTGGGCCTAGTGACAACACCTTTAATCCCACCACTTGTGAAGTAGAGAGGGAGGGGCTCTCTCTGAGTTTGAGGCCAGTCTGGTCTACAGGGTAAGTTTCAGGACAGTCAAAGCTACCAGAGGAACCCTGTCTCGAAAAACAAAAACAAACAAACAAAAACCAGAATGTACTTTAAAACAAAAGAAATAAAAAAAGCCATAATGCCATTAAGATTTATTTTTGTCTAATACACAACCATTAGCACTATAGTTCCTTAACCATCTCACAGATGTCTACTTATATATTTATTTACTTGGAGACAGGGCTCACTGTGTAACCCAGGTCAGTCTTTAACTTGAGATTCAACTGCCCCTCTGCCTCCTTCGAGCTGGGATTAAAGGTGTGTGCCGCCATGTCCTGCTTCACTGATATTTCTTAAAATCTTATTTGAATGAGAAGCCTTGGAAGACGGCAGACTGAACTTGGTTCACATGGTTAAGCCTCTTTCAAGATCTTTCTCCTCTTGCCTCTGCCTCCCTCTGTCTTTCTGTGATTTATTTGTTAGGGAATCTATCCCGTGTTTCCCAGTCTGGATTTGAATGATTAGTCAGTTGACACCCCCTTTACTTAATGGTGACAGATGAGCTAATGCTTCATCCAGGCATTTCACAGGTGATTTGCATGCCTCCACACTGTGAATAGTGTTCATTGTCAACTTACAAACAGAGTCATGTGGGAGGGAAAGCTCTGGGCATGCTTGGGGGCATTATTTTGAGTATCTTAACTGACACAGGGGACCATCGTAATGGCGGGCAGGACCACTCCCCCTGCAGGGATCCAGGACTGTATAAAATGGAGAAACGGAGCCAACACTGCATGTGTGCATGCTCTACTGTCTGCCATTTGACTGGGTCACCATATAACCAGCCCCACAAGGCTCCTGCTGCCAGGACTTCTCCCCCAGGCTGGACTGCAGCCTGATCTTATGTGCCAGAACAAACCGTCTCTTGAGTTGCTTTTGTCATAGTATTTTCTCACAGCAAAAGATGAAGAAGCCAGGGCAAATTACAGCAATGTACTGCCTGTGGTTTTTCTGTTATCTGTGTGGTTATCTTGATGTATGCGGTTAGACAAGAAAGGTGACATAAAGGTCCGATTCCCCCCCCCAACTTATCACCAGTTTTCATAAAGATGACTTGTTTCTCATTCTTTCAAAGCAAGGAAACTTACGAACTTACAGACTTCAACATACTGGCCACATCTCAGTGTGATGGGTAGTCTTCTGACAGTTTTAGCCTCAGCACATGTAACCTATGTTAGTTCTGAAAGCTTCTGGAATGTTCCATGTCTTTGAGGAACCGAGCTCCACTTGGTGGGAACTGTGTTTCTATACAGTGACTTGAGTGCTAATGATATCTAGTGTTTATTGACAATACATCTGCTGGTCTCTTCATTGGGGGACCAAGGAAACAGAAATTTTAAAAAGGTGAAAGCCACACTGACAGGTCCAAGTTAAGTTCAGACTCACAGTGTTCTCAGATCACCAAACTGGCTCCATCTCTGCCCTCATAAAGCCCCAGTGCTTGTTAATTAATCATGGCTTTAACTTCAGAACACACATTGTGCAGCCAGTATCTGCAGCTGAATAGAAAGCCTGGGGGGCGTGTAGACATTTGCTAGTGTCAAAACAGAGGCCGAATGCTATAGGTCTACTTGTCAAACACTCAGAATGACTGATGAGAGTTTAACAGTTTCCATAGAAACCCCCTCCTCTTACCAGTTCTTCGAAGTCTGCGGCCTCAAGGTCACTCAACGCTGTGTCCAGTTCCACCTATGTGAACATAATAAGGAACGCTCAGAACTACCTGAAGGATTGCTCGAGTATCCTTCTTATTGCTCTACTTAAGAAATATCTCAAAATGGAACATGTTACTTTTAAGCTTTGCAAATATAAAGCATTAACTTGTTTAACATATGTGCTTTTTTATTAAAAGGTGCTGCAAATTGTTGAAAACCTTATAATCAACACAAAAACAATTTATGAGATAAAAACTGCTTTATTTTTTGAGTTAACTTTTTAAACTTGTTAAACTTCTTAAAGCAAAAGGAAAATCACTATTAACATGGCCAGCCTATTTCAGGTTGTCTTCCTGCTTCCTCAGTATTTTTGATTCTTGGAAAATACCAACATTCTTCCTCATCTCTCTCCTGGAAACAATGTTTTGAATAAAGCGCTGTCAATCGTTATTCAGATTAAAACACCGAGGCAAGAGTTCTCCTGGGATCTGGCACGGCTGAACTTCCCTACAGAGTTATTAGACAAAAATCTTTTACATAGGATTTGGCTTTTGTTTCCATGGAGATTGCTGGAACTTTTCCTTAAAGCATCCACAGTTTAAAAACAGACTAAAATTTACCTGTAATGCATGTGTATACATACAAAAAGAGTTTCCTAACTATGTAGCATACACACTATATATAAATAAGGACTCCCCTGTATCCCCCCCCCCGCCTCTTTTTTTCCCTTAAAGGCTGAGGCATTTTCCACAGGGCTGTCTCACACTGGGTTGTATTGAGACAACAAAAGCTCCTGAGACATTAGTCATGCCTTTTCACGATTTTCACACAGTATGACTCATTACTCATTTGTGGCACACATTTTTCAGCATCTAGCAAATACATTGTGTTCTCTCGTTTGGGGAGAATGCTTTACCTAGTGAAGAACTGTCAGACAAAGAGACTAAATACTTGTAATTTTTGATCTCGGACTGTTCTGTGAATTTTTCTCTACTTGGTCTCTGGGCTGATACGAGACTAATATAACTAACTGTTCCTGTAGAAAAAGGTAAAATATTGTTACTTTAACAAAGCCGGTATGCCTGAGGAAAGTATGCCTGAGGAAAGCAGGACTGAAAAAGTTCTCAAACACCTGGGAAAGAAAACCAGATACTAAACACAAAGCAAAGTAAGTTATTTACAAATAAAAAAAAAACCAAATAATTCTACTGAACATTTGCCAACTTCAAGCTCACATCTACTTTTCACTATTTTCATTAGAAAATAATTTCATTAGAAGATAATAAAAGCTACTATTCTAAGACAGTGAAAAGTCTCAAAGAAAAGAAAAAAAAACATTCTTTGAGCCTTTTGGTAAAGCAAAAGCTTTGGGGATTCTGGTTTCTGCTTACACGTGCAGAAAGTGTGAGGTAAGTATTCAGCCTAGACAAGACAAAGCTGAACAGAATAGGAAGTCAACTCCTCTATGTCTGGAAGAAGGGCAAGAACACAGCAAACTGCTATTCTCAAGAGCCAAGTGACAGACAGACAGACAGTCAGGCAGACGGACAGACAGACAGACAGATGCAGTCAGGCACTCACAGCTACAGCAACCACCAGGAGCAGAAACCACCATCACAGCCAGGGCCAGCACAGGAGAACCTGCACTGTAGTTGGCAAGCTGCCAGAGGCTCCATGTGCTGAAAACTCCATGGAAACCCAGGCTGTTGGGTCCCCCAACCTTTTGTAAGTTTTCCCCATAGGCGCCTAACCAGGTTGCCATAGTATATGCCCTCCCAACTTTGACACTAGGAAGGAAAGGGAACCATTGAACCACGCTCTAGCGCACTGGTCTTTCCTTAACATGGCCTGCCCCATGGAGAAAGTAGTTAAGTACAAAACAGCCCCGTGGGATGTGGTGGACCTGGGATTAAGCAGAGTCAGCAATAGCTTTCCTCAGCACAGTAGAGGACCACGTAATCTCCTGTGTGAGAGGAGGGAAGTGCTCAACCCCAGCTCACGCTAGCTAGCCAGCCAGTCCCAGCAAAGAGGGGAGAGGAAACCTGACAAACGATGCCAAGGTCTACATTTCACCAATCTATCAGCTCACTTTAAGGTTGAGCCCTAGCCACAGACCAAGAATGCTTCCCCTCCTAACACACCACCACCTCATTAGCCACGCCTAATTCTAGTGGTCCTTTCCCGTGTCCAACATGCCCAACTACCAACATCAAACAGCAAACCCACATATTTAGGATAGAATGTGTCTGCTAAGATGTGGCTGAGACTAGCTATGGCTAAGATGTAGAAATTAACGGCAGAAAATTTAAGATAAAATGACTGAGACACCATGTAAGAAGAGAAGACAAGGTAAGCTGAGATGGAGTTCCTAAGGACGAGCCACAGAAAGCGCACTGCTGAACTGAAGCGCACTGTGGCAGAAATGAAGAAGGCCTTTGAGGGCAGGGCTGTAGACGGGATGTGGCCGAGGTCAGGACCCCTAGCGCAGTATTATTTAGTGTCGATGGGATAGAAGTAAAGGTGTACTGTGAACTAAGCAAAAACTGTATGAAAAATTATAGGTACAAATGGCAGAAAGCAAACAGAAGGCAGAGATGAATGCAGAACAATGGCAGCAAAGAGAAACCACACCAAGTATGACCATCATTTCTCTTCATTTTGGAATATGATCATTGTTAATACAACTATTCATAACTACACACAGGTGAAAAGAAGAATCCTAAAGAGAAATTCCAAACTATTTTTTTTTTTTCAGTGCTAGGGACAAACCTAGGCCCTCGACATGCTAGACAAGTGCTGGCTCTATCGCAACCATGAGGGAATTTCCAGATCAACCTCTATAACTAACACAGATGTAAAATTTCTCAACAAAATTCCACGAAGGTCTGCCAATATGGCTCAGGAGGGAAAGGTACTTGCTACCAAGCCTGAGGACCCAAGTTCAATCTCTAGAACCTGCATGCAGGAGAAAAAGAAGTGGCTCCCACAAGCTGTCTTCTACCTCCACCAACACTCTCTGTCACCCGTGTCCAAAAGTAACGCACTAAGAGCACACCGTGACCAAACTGCTTTCATTCCGGGAGTTCAAGGTCAGTTTAACATACAAACAAGGAAGTGAAATCCATCACATGAGTGGAATGAGTGACAGAAAGGACCTTTGATGAAGTTCAGCATCCTTTCCGGATGATAACACTGGAGCAATTGGGAAGAGAAGGACATACCTCCACAACATAAAAACTGCAAACAGCAAACTTACTGCCGACATTAGACTAAGAGTGGAATGAGGCAAGAGTGCCCGTTCATACCACTCTTATTCATTGTGGTGTGCAAAGTCTTAGCTAGAGAGACAAGACAAGAGAAAGAAATCAAAGGTATACACATGGGAAAGAAAGCAGCTGAGCATTCATATCTGGAAGTGACATGATTCTGTACTTTAAAAGACCCCAATGATCTTACCAGAAAGTGCTTAAAAAATGATAAGCCACTTGTAGCAAAGCAGTAGGATGGAAAATGAAGACGGATGGCTCAAAGCCTCTCTGTACAGCAATAACCAACCTGCTAAGAAAGAAAGGTAATGGGAACAAAACTAAGGAGGGGAGAGCCTGATACAATGAAAACATGGACACACAAAAGAAAGAAATTGAAGAAGGCACTAGAAGACAGAGCTCCTATGCTCGTGTTTACATCGCTTTGACTTAAAGTCATTTTGGTGGGTCATACTCTGTCTAAGAAGTTAATGATTTCTTCTAGATTCTCCAGTTTCTTGGCATATGGGTTTCCACATGCCTAATTATCTTCTGAATTTCATAGGAATTTGTAACATTCCACTTCTCTCTCAATTCATTAATTTCTCTTTTTAGTAAGCTTTGCTAGGGTTTTGCCCCTCTTACTAATCTCTTCAGGTATTTCTACCATTCCCTTTGTACATTTCTGAAGCTCTTCTCTTTCTGCTTTTGGAGAGGAGTCTGCCTCTTTATCAAGTTACAAAGAGCCAGCCCCAGTCCACTATCTAAGCCAGAAATTCAACGAAAGTGAAACACATTACCCCTAAAAACATTTTTACCTCTATCATCACACAAAGAAGATAGAGTTTCTCCAATTAGGCAATTACGAGGCAGGCCAGGAGTCTGGGGTGACTCTTAGCCAGAAAGGCAGCACTCAATGGTACCTTCTGATTGTGAAGGGCTGGGGGTGGGGGGTTGTGCCTCTCTAAGGTTAAAGACTTCCAGTGGGTGTGAGACAGGCTTCAGAGCCAGGGTCCTACTATCTTAAAGGCAACATTGTCCAGTTACTTGCTATGTCAAAAAGCTCTGTTTTCTCATGAAAGCACTAGTGAGGCTAACTGGTGTGCTTGATACTTTTTAGTTTGATATGATTTAAGAAAATGAGGTTGGGATGTAGCTCAGTGGCAGAATTTGATCAGCACGCATGGCCTCCTAGGCTAAAGTTCTGGGACAAGAAAAAGGAAAGAAAATGGTCATTTCAGTCGGAGACTAGCAGTTCACAGAATCAAGGACAAAATAAAATAGCATCAGGTAAAATTTCCTACATACCTGAGCTGATATCCCAGCTTCAACTAAGAAACATGTAACAGAGATTCCCCAACTGTAAGTGCAGCTGCAGTGAGCAATACCACTTTCCCCATCCCACAGTTGAGTGCCTTCCCATCTTGCCATAGCTACTGACATGATCAGTAGTCAGCTGCCAGTCACTTAGCTATGTGCTGAAGGGCTTCATGGAGAGTACTTTTCTAGTAACAGTGTCTGGTTTTTTTCATGACCCTTGAGAAGTGGTCATACGATGTCACTGAGAAAAATGAGAAAATGCTATAAGTAAAGGAATTACATGCTAGGCCACACTAACGGTTTCTGAAGTGATCTTGTCAGTTGTGTAAAGTTACATGTGATGGACAGTCACGAAGTCATACTAAAAACACCTAACCATTGTCAAGCCCTAGGCGGGTGAGCTATATATTAGACAAGCCAAAAGCCAAACACATGTTCATGGAAAGCAACTGGAATGTGGGTCTGTGGCAGAACATGTTTTTCAGATGCAAGAGGCTGGGGCTTCAACCCCCAGGATCAAAACAAAACAGAAGAATTATTTTGCTTTCAGTGGATCTTGTATTCTTACGAATAATGTTGGTTAATGCAGACCGCCAAAACATTTGTCTAGTCACAGTCTTTTACTAGCACCAAATGAAGTAGCATTCCACAGCTGCTTTGCTGTCCAAGAAGAAACCCACCTTTCATCTGGACAGAAACAAAGACTGACCTTGTTTTATAAAATCAACTCACAAAATTGCCAAGTAAGACATACAGCTTAGATTTCTGAAAGAAATTCTGAGCTTGGAAAGCTTAAATATAAAATATGATGAGAGAACCAATTTCTATTTTTAAAGAATCATTTGTTGAGGTTTATGTCACTGGATCTCCTACTTCAACAGCTTCCTCAGTTGTCACCAATAATCCTGAAACAAATACCTCCCCCCCCCCAATACACACACACACACACACACACACACACACACCAGAAAGGGAGACGAGATCCAGTGAGCTCAATTCTGGAACCTAGAGAGAGGTGGAAGGGGGAAACTCTGACCTGCACACACCACAGTCCAGGCCTTCCCCAGGCAATAAATTTAAAAAATTACTTTAAAAAGAAGACAAGAAAGCTCACGGCTCAGCGAGGCGGATGGCTCTGATGCTGACTCAGGACCCCTCCGGTTACCTTGAGTTCCTGTGGCAGGGTGAGCCAGCGGACTCCGGGGAGGTTGTCTAACAGCACGGCGCTGGCTGCATCATACTGTTGAGCGCTGGGGCTGGCACTGACATAGAACTTATCAGGCTGAAGAGCTCGCTTAAAGAACAAGCTGAAGAAATGATCCAAACGAGGAGTGTTCTCAACCTGGCAGAAGGCACTGGAGAAGTGGGAGCTGAAGTGAGTGCAACCTGTGGAGAGATCCATGGCCTGCACTGCCTCAAGGGGGCTGGCTCTGCCCCAGCATTGACTCTCTCTTCCTCCTGTCCCCACAGTTACAGTCACTGTTGCAGTGTGACTGAAAGGGAGCATTAAGATATATACTTTCTGGGGGCTGGAGAGATAGTCAGTGGTTAGGAGCACTGGTTGCTCTTCCAGAGGACTCAGGTTCAATTCCCAGCACCCACATGGCAGCTCATAACTGCTGTAACTCCAGGATCTAACAACTTCACACAGACATACACACATTTCCTTCCTGTCTGTCTTCCAACCACTTACAACTCCTAGTGTCTTTCAGGTAATGGAGGATAATAAAGAGATTCTGAACTCTGCAGTACAATGGATTTGGCTTTGAATGTTCTTACTAGACAGCTGCCATAAGAGCAATCAATAGGCCTATCTCTAAATTTTGGTCTCCAAGTCAAAACTGGGGTTAATGTGATCCAACTCTCCTTCAAATCACCTAGCAGCCACTACACAAGAGTATATAGGAAATATAAAACAAGGAGCTGAGTTATTTTATCTCCAACTGAGGGTACAAGCATTGGAGAAAAGAAAGGAAGGAAGGAAACAGTAAGGGGTACAGAGAGAGGGAGGGAACTGGAGAGATGAAAAGGTGATTTTAGACATGCAAAAGCAATCCAGCATTAATCACAACTGTTCCATACAACAACTCCCAAGATGACACAATGGCTGGCTTGCATCATGCTGAAGTAATTCACTGATGCACCCTGCAAATATTTAAGTGCCTACTTTATTCCAGCCACTGTTCTCTTTGCTAGAACAGCAATAAATTCAGACAAAAGACAATGAACTGTTGAGCACATGCTCTGATGAAGTAAGGCAAGGAGATGGTGAATGGTCAGGTGTTTTATTTATACTTCTATTTTAAAGGGAGGATCTTGTGACATTGTCCAGGCCTGCTTGAACTTGTGAGGTCACATGTTCCTGCAGCCTTCCAAAGAGCTGAGACTATGGGTATGCAACTTTGCACTCAGTCAGCTTGCTGTTTTAGAGTACATGATCAAGAAAGACTCTGAAAATAGGCCATTTACATTGATATCCCTGTTTGAAGAAGATCCAGCAGGAGGGAAGACTTCAGGGTGGGGGGGGGGGAATTTTGCCAATGTATATGGCAGGGGGTGGGTGTGGTTTGAGATCTGATCAGATAGGTAGGAAGGTGGGACCCAGATAATACTGTTGGTCATTTTAATTTGCTGCTATTATAGAGATACTTTTCATTTCAACAGAAGCTGAAATTCAGAGAAACAGGTCCCTCTGCTCTTAACTTAGTCTGTGGCCCACACAACAACTTCAGTGGTTTGTTGACATGCATGCAATCCCTTACAGAAAGTTCATCTTTGGTAATCTCAGTTTGTGGAAACAGCTCACTTAGGGCATAATTCAATAAAGTTTGTCACACTAACATAACTTAAAAAGGGCAATTAATACCACCTCCTTGCCCCTCCTCCATTAAAAACATACTGGTAGAGGGGAAAGGCACTGTGTTTAGATGACCAGCTTTGTGCATCTCATTCATTTGGAAATTCCAGGTAAATAATCAAGTTTGTGAGGGATGTGCCTTCTCCCAGGTTCCTCCAGCAGAGAATGTGAAAAATAAAATGATCATTCTAGATTGATAATCACAGAAGTTCATCCATGATGTTTTGAGCACAGTGACAATAAAGTTTCACCATAGAAAATCAGAAAGAGATACCACCACCATGTTTGGGAAAATGCATAAGTTGTCTTTCACTTTCTATACTGGTTATACTCTGGGGTACAGAGCAGAGGTATCACTTTAGGACTGTTGAAGGATATTTGATCCCATTGTGAACCCCAAAACTGTGACCTGTAAAACCCTGTTTATTGTTTGGTTTGGTTGAAGCCTGACACACACATGTAATCCAAGAACTTTCTGTTTATTGTTAACAGATGACTGTGGTATGGTTCACCCAGCTGTAGCACACACCTTTAATCCAAGAGCTCTCTGTATACCGGATCTAATAAAGTTAACCCTAGGTCAAGAGGTAGAGCAAGAAAACCAGCTGACAGTGATTAAAGAGTAGGAGGGACTTTGAGTTGAGGTGTATTTAAGACAGCATGAAGAAGAAGGAGCTTTTTAGCTCAAGCTCTGGCTTTAGCTTAGGCTTCAGCTCCTCAGCTCCTCAGTTCCCTGGCTTTTTGGTCTTTGAACTCTAGCAAGCCTTCAGCCTTAGGTGTTTTTTTTTTTGTTTTGTTTTGTTTTGTTTTGTTTTGTTTTGTTTTTTGCCTTTTCTTCCTGGGCTGTCAGTTGTACTAGTGAGCTTTTTGGTTTTTTTTTTTTTTTTCCATCTGGACCGGAGCTGAGAAGATCAGTTGGGTGCTTTCTTTGCCTCTCTGAGCTAGCAGGTTTTCAACCCAGGACTCTGGCTCCTGAGTCCTTAGTGGTAAAATAGAATGGTTGGGATTTCCCATCATTTTAACAACATAGGCCCCTGAGGCACTAGAACCTGGAGAAATCCCACTGAAGAAAAAAATTTTCCAGTCATAATTTTGTTCATTTAGATGATTAGTAGTTACCTCAATTTTTTTCCCTTTACATCAAGAAATATGTATCACATTATATTATAAGAAGTACCTACAACAGGCTAAAGTGCCAAGAATAAGTGACAGTTGAGTGCTTGACCCTATAGGGACATCTGTATCATCCCTCCGGGGCTCGGGTGAGAGTCAGAGCCGTGCAGCAGAGAGACATCTGGATGCAGCAGGGCCGCTGCGCTCGGGCACCTGCCACCTCTGCGCTTATCTGCGCAAGGCCGGTGTAAGACCGGGCCTGGAGACACTTCCTCGCGGATGGGGAGGTGGCCCTGAGGGGCTGTTGGCAGACAACGGCTTCTTCGGTAGTGTAGGCACTAATAAGCTGCCCATGCTCGGGTAAATACTTCTTACTAATGCTCATGCAGGCAACCCTAATAAACTCAATGGGTCACACAAAAGACAGGAAAGTGGGAGGGGGTCTTGTTGGGAGGAAAGGAGTAGGAGGAGGTGACAGAGTAAAGAAGACTGAGTATAACTACAGACTTACGAAACTGACAAAGAATAATAAAAAAAAAACGGAAAAAAGGCAGAGCGTTTGCATAAAATGGAATGCATATTCATGTTCTACAGAGACTACACAGAGGGATACACAGAGCATCTTAACATTGGATACTGTGTCTCTGATTTCTACTAACTGTGCTGGGTTTGTTTATTTTGTTTTTTGAGACAAGATCTATACCTCAGACTGGCCTGGAAACTCCTTAGGTAGCCTAGGCTAGCCTTGTACTTATGGTAATCCTCCTGCCTCAGACTCTCAAAATGCTGAGTTTACAGATGTGAGCCATCATGCTCAGCTAAATGCACATTTTAAGTTACATTTTCTTTTTGAATACAGAAACATTTTGGGATAGTGAAATCACAAAGAAAACACAAAAATTTACTTTAAAATCTTACTCTTGTCTATGTCGCACAGAAATATGCTATATTTGCCTTTAAAGAAAAGAACCAGTTGTTGGACTTCAAACCCGGGCCTCCTAACCCTAAACCTGTTAGTATATAGGCGTTTCCATTGGGCTGCTCTCAGGAACTTAACGACTGCTTACATCATCGCCTGCTGCTGCCAGGTGCATTAAATATGTACGTGCTATGGATTTCTCCCTTTCTCCTTCCCTCCCTGCACTCCTCTTTTCTAAACACATGCTCTCTTTCTCTCTCTCCCCCCAACTTCCATGTTCCTCTTCTCTAAATACATGTTCTTTCTTTTTCTTTCTGCTCCTCCCGTCTCCCTGTGTGTATGGCGATTTCCCTGGCACCATTCTCTGAGACCAGTGAACCTGCCAGAGAATTATCCCAAATAAACCTGCTTTTATACTTCTCATTCGGCTTGAACTGGCTTTATTTTGTTGGTGGAGAAAACCTATTACTGGTATATACTGGCTACTAATATCATAATATAGAACTGGTTGTAATTACTATATCCTGTAGGAATTAGTGGTTTGCATGAGTTTTCACATGGTACATTACAGAATATGATGTAGAAACAGCATCCTGGGTTCACTAAAAGCCGGGGTGGAGGTTCATACCCACAATCCCAGCACCTGGAGGCTCGGGAAGCAAAAGCACGAGTTCTCACCATCCCAGGCTACAGGCGCAGGCCAGCCTCAGCTACACAGCAAGATCCTGTCTCAAAAGTTAATTCATAATTGAGTTAAATAAAAAGTTTAAAAGAAAGAAAGCATGAGGAGACTATCACAAGGAATCAGAATAAACAACAAAAAACCCTTGCTTCTCAAGCAAGAGACACTGCCAAGCACAGAGGAAGAAACAGAACCATGACTCAACACGACACAGACTCTAGAGAAACACTTACCTGTCTAAAGAACCATACATAAACTTTAGGGTTTGAGCAGCATCTTCTATCATGTTCCTTAGCTGGGGAAGAGGAACTCTTTAAAAAAATATATATAGTTACTCATTTGTGACATTATCTGAAGACACAGACCCCAAAGAGGCAAGATGCCTTTACACTTATATATGTGTACGGGTGGGCTGTGGGCTAAGCTGTAAAACGTACTTTCCCACTGGTGAATGGTCACCCAGAGGTAGGAAGTCACTTAGGCATTGCAGAGTCCCTGTTTCACCCAATGAATCGAACACCTAGGCAAAATAACTGGGCTAAGCCTTGACCTTCAAGTTCTCTAGCTGGGGGCGCATGAAATCCAAATCATATTCTTTTGAAGTCTTTACGGAAAAAAACACCCCACCCAGCTAGTTCTGTGTTGTCTGTACTGGCAGCCCCAAAGGCACAGGTAACTTCCCAGGTGTGGCGCCTTGGGATCATGAACCCACCACAAGCAGTCTGCTTTTTGACAAAAGTGGCATAATTGTAATGAGACAATTATTTTACAATTATTTTACTTTTTTGTTACTAAAGTTTCAGAAATGTTTAAAGGTAAACAAAAAGCTCTCAACTCACTCTTCAGCAGGCAGGCCAATTAACAACAACTTGTCAGATTCTTTCAAGTAAGCAACATGAATTTGTTTTCCATTTAAATGGAGGGACGAGCTAAGGAAAACATAAATTCAAGATGTGGTTAGAATATCTTTAACTATTATGAAGTTATAAAAATATCCTTAAAAGGTTACACATGGTATAATTTAAAAACGGAATTGCTTAATAAGCAAGTTTTTTGGCACATACCTAATTGTCACACAGAAAAGGAGTTTTGTGACAACAAAAATACATTTGGAATTATCTCCAAACCTCCAAGACATCCAAAAGTAGAATCATTTCATGCCAACAATCCTGGCTTTCAGGAGGCTAAGGCTGAAGGATTGCTTTGAGTTAGAAGCCAGTTTGAGTAACAGTGAGTTCCAGGCCGGCCGGGCTACATAGTGAGACCCTATCTCAAACTGGGGTATGTGTGAAATGTTTAGTTGATGCTTAAGTAGCTACTCACAGTTTAGAATTTTCACAAGACTTTCCATCCTAGCTCATTAATTCCATAGACCCGTTGAGATTGCCCATGTGTGGACATGATCACATAAAGAGATTACAAAGGAAAGAAAACAGTGATTCTAGCTAAACGATGACAGCCCAATCTGAGATATGGGTATAGAAGCAAGTGATGAAACTTCAGTCATCTGCACATAGGAGCTCAAGGGAACTCCTGGATACGGCATGTGCACACTGATGGCAACAGACGGAGCGCTTCAGTCAGAAGCTGCTGGCATGTCCATTTCATGTGTGGGCAATGTATTCCTAGTAATACTTCACGCAGCTGCAAACAATTAGATAACTTCTCAAAAGAAATATAATAACCAACTATGGAAATATAGAGAACACAGTGTGTGCCACTTTAAATATGAACTATTAAACACATTTTTAAACAGAATATTATTTTTATGTTAAAGTTTAAAAGTACAAACACTTTTATACAAATATTAGCCTCTTTTATATCATACTAATATTATTACAGTTTTGAAAATGAATAGTCAACAAGAAACACATATTGTTAAAGAACCCTGAAGAAAACATTACATATTTATTGCTTTCTCAAAAAGCCTTTCCTAGTTGTCTTTATTGCTTGCACATGGTTACCTCATGTCTTATCATTACTGACGAGATCTAACTACTAGGTAAAACGGCATCTATCCTACACACAAAAAAAGACAAAGAGCGAACCTACACACACAAATCTTAAATTTCTTTTAAAAAGCATATCTATATGAGCTAGAGGTTTGGCTGGGAAGTTAACAACACCTGCTGCTCTTCCAGAGGACAAGTTTTGTTCCCAGCGACCGTGTCAGGTGTGCCAGGTGCCTATGACTTCAGTTTCGGGGAAGATGATGCTTCTGGCCTCTGTAGGCACCTACACTAATGCTCACAAACCTGCACACCGACACACACGCAGAATTTAAAAATGTCAGAAACGACAACAACAACGAAACAAATGAGCACTCGTCTTATGGTTCTATTCATTTGAAATGTCTACTGCAGAAAGCTCTACCGCGCAAGGCTAGCAAGCCATTGGTGCCTGCGGCTTGAGCTGTGGCGTACAGGCTGCCCAGGGGCACAGAGTTTCTTTCTAGGGTGATAAAAATGTTCTGAAATTGATCATGGCCAATATCTATGAATATACTTGAAACTATTTACTTGTACACTTTTTAAAGAACACACTTAACTGGCCAGGTGTGGTGGCACACATCTTTAATCCCAGCACTTGGGAGACAGAGGTGGGGTTGGAGACCAACCTGGTCTATAGAGAGAGTTCCAAGACAGCCAGAATGGTAATACAGAGAAACCCTGTCTTGAAAAACCAAAAATAAAATAAAAACAGACTTACTTGTTTTTATTTTATGTGTATGGCTGTTCTGCCTCCATGTAACCACATGCTCACCTGGTGCCCCAGAGGCCATAAGAGGGAACTGGATCCCCTGGAACTGCAGTTACAGATGGTTTGAGACACCATGTGGGTGCTGGGAACCAAACCCAGGTCCTCTGCAAGAGCAGACAGTGCTCTTAACCTCTGAGCCATCTCTCCAGCTCCTACGTACACATTTCAAGCCTGGGTATACTGTATGATATATTAACTATAGCTAAATGAAGCTGTAAAAAAATAAATAAATAAAAAGGAAGGCTGGGGCATAGCTCAGCAGTATATAGCATTTAACTTGCAGGTATGAATACTCTGTTTTGATCCCTGCAATGAATAAATGAAATAATAAACAAACAAATAAATAAGGAGAGGTTTAATAAGCTGTTTTTATAAACATAAGTTTATGTATGAAATGAGGTCTCAAATGCTACTGTCTTCAAATATATAAACAGCTTATCTATACATAAAAAGTCAGAGATTTATGCCTAACTTTTACTAGGAAAACAAGTAAATTCTTCCCATTATTTTACACATCCCACATCTAAAACTTTTAAGTGTAATTTTACAAGGAGATGGGAAAACAAAAGGTAAAATCTGGATAATCCAACTCTACATCTTATCAGTATATGGGAGCTCTTAAAACTTGAAATAAACCTTTTTATGAAGTTTAGATATTAAAGTAGAAACACTGTAATAATTTATTTTATGAAAAACAAAACTCAAAAGCTCTGAGATCTTCATTCCATGACTTAACTACAGCATCAAAGTCAGGCCTGAGAAATCAGTGTGGGGTGGGTTCTTTCAGAGACTAAGGAGCTCTTCCTCCTCTCCCTCCTGCCTCCCTTCCTTTCCTTCCCTCAGTGTTGGAGTTGGACCCAAGGCCACTTGCTGTGCACTGACTACTGCTGCTGCAGAACAATCGAGTTCTGACTTTTGTCTTTTTGTCACTAAACAACCTTCACATGGCACTGAATTCTGAACATTGCTCCTAAAGCACATTCTACATTTCTCTATCATTACTGTAAAATCAGAGTATTTTCTAACCGTGTAAAAAATTTAGCATATTGCTTAGTGACTTGATAATCACAATAAAGACACACGGAGTCCAAGATGCATAATAATGCCATGTTTAAAAAAGAAAACCTTCTTTTAAAGTAATTACATTGTGTGTGTGTGTGTATGCAATGTGGTACGCACATGTGCGCATGTGTACCAACCACAGCTTGAATGTGGAGCCTGGAAGACAACTTGTAGGAGTCTGTTTCTCAATCCACCATCTGGTCCCAGGGTTTGACCTCAGGCCGACAGGCTTGCCAGCAAATGCCTTTACCCACGAGCCATTTTGCCAACTCAAAGACAACATTTTCATTAAGAATTATAACTATGGGTCAGCAGCCAACTGTGTTAATTAAATGATGCTGGGAAATCCCAGACCTGTAGCTGAATTAAAAACATACGCTCTAGATAAAGTCAATGTTTGGCTGAAACAAATGCACAGCTATCCTCCCCTCAGCAGAGCACTGCTCCAAACAGGAACATGTTTTTTCACAGCTGAAGGTGAGAAGGTGAAGAAAGAGGTAAATAAACACTAATACCTAGTGACTTGTGTCCCAGTTACACTTTCCAGCATGTCGCAGAGTGTGAGAAAAATGCCCCTCACGCTCTTGAGTTTCTGAGATGCTTCAGACACTGGGTAATGGTAAAGAATTTCCTGCTGTGAGAGAAAGGAAACAGATGATCAGCCTCCCAGATGCTCCAACCAACATACATCCTGAAAATTCAGACTTTGTCTTAAGAACAAAACAGGAATCCTTTCAGCTTTAGTCAGAGTTTTATTCAAACACAAGGACAGAACTATGCCTGGTATGTTAACACTTCAACAAGCATTTCAAATGCTACGTTTGAAAGTACAGGAGACCAAAATCTACACAATTAATTGAAATTATTGATTTCAAATAGTGTTTTAAGCTTTAATCCCCACCCAGAACCCCAAAGAGTCTTTAATTTCTTTTATCCTGAATCTTAAAAGAGAACCATCATTTTTGAAGGTGTTATTAAATAGTTACTTAATTATATTTACAAAGTGAGAATACAAAACTAAAGAAGTACCAATAGGAAGAAAAGAGTATCATAAGATTATAAAGCCTCTGACTTAAATCTGGGAGGGTTAAACACCACAAATTAATCTATATAGTAAGGCACATTTTATTTTTAATTATGTAAAATGCCAATTTATAAGGTAATTCACAAAATGCTTAATATTTTTCCATTTTCAGTGAGAGCCTATTTCCAGGAAGCAGAGCTTTAACAAAAGTGAAACAATGAGTCTCCACCAAGCAGGACCTGCAGTGGGCTGACACTCCTAAGATGGAGATGGGCAGGGTGAGCCTCACTTCCTGCTGATACTCAGGCAGCATCTACTTTTCTCACAGGGCAAATTAAAACTGGGCAAAATTAAAACTTCTAGATAGAAACCATGAAGAATTCAGAGTAATTTCCAGTTGTTCCAATGGCTACAACTGCTTCAGCAGGAAGTCCAAACTCCTGTTGTATTACACTGGCCTAGCTTTCCTTGGTTCCCTCTATGAAGGCTGTTAAACAGCTGTATGAGAGATAGTTACATGGGGCCCATGTTCTCACAGCTTTTACACTATCACAGATATGATGATGACACACTGTGAACTCCTACTGCTTTTACTTGCTAGGAAGTAACCTAATATACGGAAGCTATTCAATATATGCTATGGGATATGTTTGCTAATACACTGAAGAATGATTCTAATTTTATTTCAATTTTCACTGTGAAAATAGCTACAAAGCATTTCATTATAATTTTATTATTTATTTTTAGAAATTAAGTCAAACATGAATTAACATCTTCTGTGATATAGATTTAATAAATTTAAACCATGTCCAAAAAGTGCTTCCATTCTATTTTCTCAAAATACCAAATGTTGTTTTAAAAAGAGTCTTTAACTAGCTTTTTGCAAGTCTCCATCTTGTGGTCTTCGCATTCCAAATCTTGTAATTTGAAGGCCAGCTCTGTATCAATTATGTAACTCTCAGGGAAAGAAATGACCCTGTGACATTTCATTGTAAAGTAACATACTAGTTAAAAAAAGGCCATTTAAAGAAGTCTCCATAGTAGTCTTAAAAGCCTTGGTACTGAAGGGCTGGCAGGCTCTACAGCGCCCAGTCAATTTAATTAGCTGTATTTTTAAAGCCCTTGTTAGTAGCCTGCACTTACAGAAGCTTCCACTCTGTGTGGAAAGAATAAAGAACCTCTCCTAATTACGATACCAATATAGAACTGGCCACAGACAGGAACCTGTTTATTTGCAAGGCATTCACACACTTTCCCAGGGAAAGATAGGCAATGACATGTGGGCTCAGCAGTGTCCCAACTAGAAAGGTTCAGGACAGTACCCCAAAACTTAGGGGGATTAAAAAAATAAATGCTTAAATGTCTCATTTGTTCTAAAGATACGCCAGCAAGGTGTAAGAAATTAGAATTATTATTGCTGGGTGTCTATGTATTTTTTAGAACACAGAAAATACCAAATAGTAAATCTACAATTAATTTAATCTTTACCATTTCAATTTCTTATTAAGCAGACAGAAAACAACGTAAGGAAGTGCAAGCCTCACATTACAAAAGGACGCGAAGGCAGCTTTTGGTCTCTCCCTGTCGCTTAGAATAATAGCTGAAAAGTGTGCCCAGGTTTCTCTTATTTGCTTTCAACACCTAGCATAGCATGTGGTGCGTAGAGAACAGTGATAAGGCACAGCTAGTTCATGCAATACATAGCATGATATGTGATATGAAGACCAGCAAAAGGCCCAGCTAGCTCCCTTCTGTTTCTTTAAGTCTGAAGTGGAGGAAGGTCTCCCTCCTCACTAGGCGTATGTGAGCGGAAACACACCTCCTCTCTGGCCGCTTCTGAGTGGATCTGCAGCGTGAGGTACATGGTCATGTGTGGGACGTCCAGGGCACTCTGCTGAACACCATCAGCCTCTAACCCGCAGAGGAGCTTTACCAAATCATTCGTGCATGCCTGTGTCTTCTTTTTTGGTTGGGCTGTTTCCTTTTTCACGGCATATGCATTTTCAAATGTTAGCTTCACCTGAAAAACAAAAAACAAAAAGTTCGAACTTTCAACAAAGCAAATATCATTTTTTTTTTTTTTTTAAACAAAGAAAGACACGTGCTGACATGTAGAGCAGTAGTGCGCAGGATAGAGAGGGCATCTCAGAGCAAGGGCAAATGGTGAGGGCAGTGAGTTCACCTGTACCTGTATCTAGATCCTTGCACAGTGGTGGGCACACATATATAAAAACAAATGCTTGTCAAGTGAAAAGTACAGTGTTCCGTACAACAATTCATTCGTGCAAATGCAGTCACTGTACAAAGAAGTATCACAGAGGAACAGGACTCCATAGCATTTGAGTACAGCAGAGTCACCGTACATGTTAATGCTAACAGCACTGTCTCATCAAGTGAAGCTAAGGGGGAGAGACTGGGGTCAAGGCAACATCACATGTCACGAGTTGCCTTTCCTTCCAAACGTGACAGCTTCAAACACTCTTCTCTCAGTCTTTGCGGACCTTTAAAGAAGGACCAAAGACAGTGCTATCAGACAAAACCGTTGGCACGTGGGACTCTGTACCTCTAGGAGGATTATCTGTCAGTTTTATCAGTATAGTTTTAATTTCACAGCCTAATGTCAAGATTGGTCAGAATCCAGAACGTGGCTGTTCTCCAGCTGCTGAAAGGCACCTTCCACCTCTCAGGTACCTCCCCTTGGAAACAGACACATCCGCAGTGCCAGCTGGCCAGCGACAACCCGCTCACTTCAAAGATGCTCTGTAATGAGGGTTGGATAATGAGTTCAGCCATCACTATGAGTTCAGTAGCCACACAGTGCTCTGGATGTTTATATCTTAAAAATGCTTCCTTTAAAGGGAATAATCCCCACAGTTTTAAATTTACAGTCAAATGATGCCTTTCAAAATGAGAGTAAGCTGGGCGTGATGGCTGTTTCCTTTAATCCCTGCAGGTGCAGGTGGATCTCTGTGGGTTCAAGGTCAGTCAGCTCTACACTGTGTCAGGACTGTACTGTGAGACTCTGTCTCAAATTAATTAATTAATTAATTCATGTTTGATCAAGAATAAAGACGTCTAGCCAATGCTTAAAAGCAGGTAACATTGTATTAAGGCAGCATGTTACATTTGAGGAAAATACTTAAAGACTAAAAACAATACTAAATAATTACTACTTTAATGATTTATTATAAGAGGTGCTCTAATTCTAAGTATGTGCTAAGTACTAATATACTTTAATCACTTTAAAAAATAACTTTTATATACTTTCATTTAAAATGTTAAGTATGTTTTAAAAAATCCATAACTCTAACCTACCTACCCAACTGCTCAGATATTATATTGTTTTATATAAATATATATGTTGAAAAAATCTTCCAAAAGGAAAAAAAAAAAATCAGGCATTCCTTTCTTGTTGGCAAGAAGTAAGTGTTTGGGGTTGTGTTCAATTTGTTTATCTGGAGCTGGTAGCAGCTTTTTACTGGAGTGAACTAAGTTAGATACACATCGTTTTAAGTGGCAGGATTTGCAGTAAGAAAATTCCATTTGTTTGGAGAGTGTCTCTCAAAAATTCACATGGTAAAGCCTTGGTCCATGGGGTAGTGCTAGTGGGAGGCTGGAAGGTCTTCACGTACGTGGGGGCATTCCCTAGGGAGAGTGTGGGACCCTGATCCCTCTTCCGTTTTCTCTCTTTTACTTGTTGATCTTAGGGTGAACAGTTTGGCTTCACCCCTCACTCCCTGACATTTCCATGTGGTACTCCCACCAAAGGCTTCAAGATAAGGGGCTTATCTGGTTGTGGTCAGTCTTCACTGTCACTTTGACCGGAGTTAGGATCACCTGGGAGACACAACAGGGCATGTCTGTGAGGATATATCCAGAGTTTACTGAGGGGAGGACTCAACTTTGACATGGGTGGCATCAACCCATGGGCTTAGGTCCCAGAATGAATAAAAAGGGAAAAAACAAAACAAAACAGCTGATCATCGCCCATATCCGTCTTCCCACTTCCTGGACTGCACAGATACGAAGAGTTTCCTTCGTTCATGCCTGTGGCCACGCATTTCTTGCTGTGATGGACTTATCCCTTTCAAACTAAGAGCCAACATAAACCCCCCCTCCCATGAGCTCCATTAAGTCAGGTGTTTTTCCCAATTATAGACGAGTAACAAATACACCTGGTCACAGACTAGACCCTCTAAAACTATAAGCCAAAATGAACCCTTTCTCTTCATAAGTCGATACTTCAGATATTTATTACAGTGACGGATGCTAATCTACATGTAGCAAAGAACGAGGTTCAAATTCATCTAGATGTACATGGTGTTAGCAAAGCTGAAGTAGGGTAAGGAGCTTACATCAGGAGCAGGAAGGGAAAAAATTCAAATGGGAAAGCCTAGTGTCTACAGAATTTTTTTAAAAAGTTTTCTGTAAACACAGTGTGGAAACATAGACCTTGGAATCTGGGACACTGTATGAAAAAAGGCTGAGTAGAAAGTTAATGTATTGCTAGAAAAAGAGAAAACAAACTAAACAAAATTTTTTAAAAAAAATTGCAACCTTATGTAAAAATGATCAAGGGTTTTTAATTAACATATAATTAAAGTAAGGAAGGGTTGAGAACATACAGTTTTACGAATTATCATCTTAGATATGAAAGGAATAATCAGGCACTCTGTGGTAAAGGCATTGCCTCCACGATTGATGACCCAAGTTTGATCCTTGAGTCCCACATGATAGAGAGAACCAGCTCCTACAAGTTGTCCTCTGCCCTGCAAGTGTGCATAGTAAGTAAACGTTACAAAAATAAGACTTGGTCTGAGGTTCAGACACAAACAGACTAAACAAGTAAGCATTATTTACTGTCAAAGATGTAGTTATTGGTGGTGGTGGGGGGGGGATTCATGGTAGGAGTATCCACAGAAAGAGACCTCAGAGAAAGAGCCATGGCACATACCATGAAGGCATCTTCTCCAGCTGAAGAGCCTGTAGGTGGGAAGAGTTAAAGACTGGGTGTGACTCACCAAAAAAAATGACAAAAGGGAAATGAGTTGGTAAACTGAAAAATTCACTATTCATATTCTAGGAATCGGCAAGGACCTAAAATTTAGTGCCACTTCGCTATGCTTGTGAAAAGTGACATATGTGCTTTAAAATTAGCTTTAATACTTTATTTCGCAAATGCCATCATCTCTTTTCTGTGGTACAAGGACCTTTACGCCTTGCTAGGACATAAACCCAAACAAAACCACACGCCATGGGATTGTCCATTAACATTCTTTAAGGAGCTGTTTTAGTATCACTCTGATTTAAGAAAGGTTGGTTCCATCATACAAAACAAATTACACTTCAGAAAGCCATTTCTAAAGTCCTATATGGTAGGCAAACATATATGATAAGCAAACAGCTGAGGAATTCAGTTGCCTGGACAACATAATGGTAAGATATAACTAAATAAAAAGATAAACACTATAAAAAAGAGGTTGATAAACCTAAGTATTAAGAGTACTATGTGGTTAAAGGGATAAGCTTTTATAAACAGTATCTAACACATTTTATTTGAAGCTCCTTTTAGTTTTCTGTCGTTCTTCCACAGAACTTTAATGTTCAACAAAGTTCATGATGCCACATCTCCCGCCTCCTTTCTTACTTGTGCAACTTGCCCAACTTATCCTCATCCCTTCCAGGCTCAGTAATTGTGCCCTAGTTCCCTCGGGTCCAAGGATGTGATTTCTACAACCCATCACTTCCAAAGTCTTGTGGTTTTGGTTGTGTCCTCTGCACTTGTCTCCAACCCACGCTATGTAAAAAGCAATTCATCTTTATTCTCTAACAAGCAAACCCCCTCTTCCCTTCAGCTACAACCCTCTCCACAGTGTACGCTGTGAGGACCTGATGTCATGGCAAAGCTGCCCTGCCTTGCACCTGAGAGTCAGCACAGCCCTTCTCACAGCTCCCCTGCTCTCTGCTGTCTTATCCATTCTCTTTCAGCCTGCAAGAGGCAGGAGCTTTCAAAACTCTTCATGAATACTTAAGGAATTATTCTAATTGGCTCAGCAAATCCTCCTTTGCCTCTCCTCCTTTTGGGCAATCTCACTGAGTTGCTCAAGGCAAAGTCTGGAAAGTTCCTGGGTATCTCCAAATCTGAAATGCTGTAAAACTCCAGACTTTTTGAGCATCAGTGTGATGCTTTGAAAGTATGAGATTTTTGAGTATTTAGGGTTTCAGGTTGTTCTGCACAGGGAGGTTCATCCATGCTGAAGTCCCAAGTTGAATCAACTGTTCTCTCTCTTCTCTATCTTTTCTTCCCTCCCTTCCTTTCCCAGCACTCATTCATTCACTTCTGTTGCCAGGATGGGTCAGGGATCCTCTGCTTATATTACTATCTAATAAATTCCAAGCCCAAATTTCTCCAGTCATCCAGTACATTTACTCCTCCTGCAATCCAGAAGCAGTGAAGGGCTGCCTGCTACATCTGATGTAGTCACACACTGTTCAGTTCGCCATAATGTGTAGTAGTTCTCCAGCCTCTTTTCATCATGCTGTGTGTGTGCTGAGCTTTCTAAGCCAGGGTCTTGCACATGCTAGGCACACATTCTACCATTCCACAAATCAACACTCTCATGCTAGTAGCACTTTTGAAACATTTAGGAAAAAAAAAAAAAAAACCACACAACTAGTTTTGAAATGTTAACATGGGCTTTTGGGGGCATCACTAAAGACAAGGGCTTTGCCTCTGGATTCCACAACAGCACACATCAGGAGACCTAGAGCTGGATTCAAAGATTTCCCGCTAGATCCCTTCTGATTAAAGTAGAGGAAACTGTAGATCTGAAACTTCTGCGAGGTGTTATATGGAGGTCTGATCTGTTCTCCCAGTGCCTTTTTTCCTATTACACTGTCTCACGGGCCACTTGTCTGTTGGAGAACAAGAAGCTGCAGGCCACTTGTTTCAAATGTCACTGCTTGGTGTGTCCAGGATTAAAGTCTCCAGTGCAATTATTCATAAACATGCACTTTTCCTCCCCTGTTGCTGGAGGGACTGTTTTGCACATGCCACAAACACAAACCAGTAAAACAAAAAAGCCTGGGGCAGATCTATCTCAGTTGGGTCTGGCACCAAGATGCCAGGATCCACAGATTGAAATGAAAGGGAAGGAGTATGCTTTGGCTCAGTTTGAAAGTTAGTGCTTTGGGGAACTGATTCTGTAGCTTTAGGGAAATCATTAAGTAGTTTCTAAATGCTGTCTCTTTCTTAGGATCTCATTAAACAGTTTAGTCTAGCTCACAACCCTCCTGCCTCAGCAGGATGCTCCTGATTCCCTTTCTTTATGTATACAACAGGAACACTAAACCACTGGAATCTTACAGGTTAGGACCTTAAATGTCAGCACATCTGTATGAAGAAGAGGAGGTGCACCTGGGGACACTGCACAAGAGGTGGCATGTCTGCATGTAAGTGTCTTCCCGACTTGAAACTGTCCTTAGAAACTTGCAGCAACTGTGGTGTCCTGCCCCCCACCCCCCAAGACCTGCAGGGCATCAAGCCAATCTGCATTCCAGCATGGATGGGGGAGGAGCTACAGGCAGCTGATGGCCACTGAGGGAGGGAAAGTCATCATTCTTCATTGGTGTGTATCATGGTGAGTTGACCATGTTCCACACCCATGCAAATGCAAGCATCTCTAATTGGACTGTGAAGGGTCATGTAGTCAGGAGTGGGTGGGGAGTCTAGGAAGATTGGAGGGGGAAGAGATGAGGAGAGGAGAGGATGAAAAACACAGTATTTATCCATAAAATTATTATAGCTTTTAAAATTAAGCAACTTTAGAAAGAAGTAGTTTGTCACTGTGACATCTATACCTGATGACGTTCAGGAGCCTGGGGAGCTGTTTCATGGGAAGTGTCTGAGGAACAGGCCAGAGAAGCCTAGTTTCTCTAAGCCACTTGGTGGGCAGTTCTGCTAAGGGCTTAGAAAACCAGAAGCCTGACAGAAATGAAAAATGCAGGCAGCGAAGACCAGGATCATTCGGTTTCAGGCAGAAAGTGAGACTCTGTTGGTAACTGGGTTGACAGATCAACCTTTCTACATGATGGAAAAGAACGTGAATGCATTTTACCCATGCACAGAAACTTTGTGAGAGGCTGTGTTTAAAGGGGACAGACTAAGTAATCTAACAGGAAATCTCAAGGCCACACAGCATTCTCGCTGTGGCATGGGTGTTGCTTGCTGATTTTAGCCAGATTAACAGTGAGAATAGGGAGCAAGAAACAAAACAACATTTTAAAAATCACATTTTAGCCAGAAAGTGAGTAGGTTTAAAATTGCTGCCAATAAATATGGAGAGATCGACTCTGTTAAAAGCAGACCAAAAACTCTGCACTGGGACAGTAGGAAAGACATTCTGAGGGCATCTCAGGAATTGACCAGGATCCCTCCCCAACTCCACATCCTACACCCTAGCTCAAACATGTAAAATTATAACTCCTTTTAAGAGAACAGGTCTGAAAACCCAGATTGCACAGGTATGTTCAAGGTACCGCTTAACTAAGTAAGGTCTTTATCTCATTCAGCTGGTAAAGCAACCCAAGGGCCACTGCAGCCACGGCCCAAGTGGGCCTACCAAGATTTTGACAAATGGCAGACCACTCGATGCTAGTTTTGTAGGCATGCAGAATGCTAGAGTTGTGGGGCTGGGGTGGCTTCAAGCAAAATTTCAAAGGAAAGTCCAGGAGGCCATACAATGTGTAGCAAGTTTACTGTCTCTGGAAAGAGCCCCTCACAGTTGTACATGAAGTTATGAGAGTGAAGCCAAAGCCGAAACGGAAAACCTAGAAAGTCAGAGACACCAGCAGCATGGGGCATTGACTACAGGAAGCTGCAGATGGTAAGCAGAGCCATAAGGTATCTGCCATATGGGCTGCAGCCAGCAAAACCACAGGGGTAGGACTGCCAAGGCTTCTGGAGTACATCATGCCACTGCATATCCCAGGTGGCAGGCCAGGCTGCTCAGTTTTAGTCTCGCTTAGGCCTGATTCTTCCTCATTCTTTCCCTGTCTCTTCCTGTGCAATGAGAATGCTTATGACATTACCTGGAAAATATACAGCTTACTCTGATGGATATGCAAAATATGCTGCATTTTGATGGATGCTCACAATTGAGTTTTCGTTAAGTCTTGAGGAGTCTGTGGACTCAGGCTTTTGAACAATGAGGACCTGTTAAAGACTTGGAGATTCTTGGAGATGGACTAAATGCACTTTTTTTTTTTTTTTTCTAAATGCACTTTCATTGTAATGTGGGCACATGCCTGTGAATACAGGACATGGTGTTATGTGTTGGCCTTAAATGCCTCCCCAGTGCACACGGGCTAAAGACTTGGTTGCCAGGATGTGGCACCGCTGGGAGCTGGTGGAGCCTTTATGAGCATGGAGAGAACTGGGTCACTGGGATGCTCTTGAACAAGACATTTGGACCCAGCATCTTCCTCTCTCTCTCTGTGCCCAGGCCATCAGGAAGTCAATGACTTTTTTCTAGTACTTATCCCTTACAATGAGGCTCTGCCTTCCTTACAGCAGCCCTCTCCCCTTATTTCTTCCCCACAACAAACAAACAAAACCAAAGCCAACTGGCCATGGACTGAAACCATGAACCAAAATCACTATTTCCACCTTCACAGTTGCTCTCCTCAGGCACTGTGTCACAGTGATGGAAAGCTGAAAGGAAATGATATCAATAGTACACATGGTTGGCTGATTGCAAGTTCTTTCTACTCTCCTGCCTCCATAAACTCCCAGATTACAAGGCTTCAAAGAAAACACTGTAGCTATGTTTTGAAATAGCCAAACTCATATTAAGAAACAACAAAAACCCTTTTAGCTGGATATGGAGATATACACACACTTAATCTCAGTACTTAAGAGGCAGAGACAGGCAGCCCTCTGTGAGTTCCAGGACAGCTAAGCCTACATGAGAGAGTCAAAAAACCAAAAATGAGAGATTTTTTTTTTTTTTTGTCAGAGAATACAAAGTCCACAGCTTATTTATTTACTTACTTACTTATTTTTTGATACAGGGACTCTACATAGTGTAGAGAGAATATCTTGTGTGTTGTATGGATGCATCACCTGTCAATTAAAAAAACCTATGGCCTATGGGAAAGAGTAGAATAAAAGGTGGAACATCCAGTAGGTGCCTGGGAAGACATGAAGGAAGACAGATGCAAGGTACTTGAGCAGAGGTAACCAGCTAAATGGCAGAACTTAGATTAGAATAAATAGGTTATTAAGTTATGAGATAATCAGAGAATGAGCCTACCTGTATGGCCTAAGTATTTGTAAATATATTTTGAGTTTGAATCGGTATTCTGGGACTATGGGGCCAGGAGGAAAAACTGTGAAACACCATAGTTCTGGCTATCTTGGAACTCCTTATATAGACCAGGATGGCCTCAGACTCACACACCTGCCTTTGCCGAAGGAGTGCTGAGACTAAAGGTTGGCCAACATGGGCGCTCTATGGGTAAGCTGGCAATCATGTGTATTTTCATTACTGTTCCAGTGTTCTTTACTTTGGATGAGTTTTATTTGTAGACATCCCTTTCCTTTTAAAACAATGCCCAAAGCTAAGTGTTAGCAAGAGGTGAGCCTGCCCTTGGTGCCCAAGTATCAGTGTTACTCACTCATTGCACAGGAGGATAGCTTCAGGATCTTAAAAGAAATAAAACAAAACAGCACAGAATGCAAGTACACTAAATACCGTATAGGAAAGAACTTCACACCTGCATTGGCCCAGGGATGCAAGACAGAACTCTCTCTATGTTTTCAGAAGTCACTTCTACATCATTCACAGCAACAAGGACATCGCCTAAAAACAGAAAAACAAAAAGATAACTGTGTGAATATCCCAAACCAAAAAGCTCCAGAATTGCAACATGAGAAAATAGTTATTCAGACCTCCTCAAGGATATAATGGAAAATGTGGCGCATTTGGGGACTTATCCAAGGTTATACCACACATTAATGAAATAACCAATCTCCCAAATCATCTAGTATGTCGCCCAACACTGCACCGTAACTCCCTGCAACCCACGAATACTTAAAGATATGAATATTTCTAGTCTTGGTGTAATTGGGAGAGTTATGTGAACCCAAAGCACAAATGGAAACATTTTTAGCATAAACGAAGTATTGCACTCAACAAAATTGAATCTAACCACTCAGACCCATAGTTAGAAAAAAAAAAATCCAGCTGAAATTTTAATTTAGTCCATGTGATACATCTCAATGCATTGTGCTGTTTGCTGCCATCACTCCCTGGTGTCTGTACAGCAGGCTTTGCATCACAGCTCCCAACAATATCAACATGTCTGGCACATTGCAGTCAAAATCTTCCTTCTCATGACTGTTCTTCAAATGCTTGTATTTATCTAATATCAAAATCAAGAGCACTATTAAAATTAAAATTTACCTTCAAATTATTGCTACAAAACACAGCTCACACCCCAAAGAGAGAGTCACTTTATTCTTGAGTTAAACCAAATGACTGATCACAGTCCAGGAATACATGCAAATCAGCACAGTTACCAGATTCACTGGTGAGGATCCCAGGTAGGTGGGCTCACACACTAGGGGATCCTCCACAAGTATCAGATGTTTCCTTGGAATAGTCTGAACTGTTGGGGGTTGGTGGAAGCTCATGCTTTGCTAAGAATATATTTAAAAAGTTTTACCTGACTGATAAAAGGCTATAAGTTCTGAGAAAATTGTGAGCCTAAAAACCAGATACAGGGGTGGACAATGACCAGGGCTAATGACAGTCTAAGATAATTTGGGTCTGCATCTGTGACACCCCAAATCTGCTTAGTCATGAAGTTCTAATCAGTCACTTGGCTTTGGGCCTTGTACTCTTCAGCCAACCAAGGGTTTAGCTTTTATTCTAGGACCTTCAGTTTATAAGAACATAATTAAAAGTACCATCAAATCCCCCAGTGAGCTGTGTTAACAGAAACACAAGCACATCTAGGGAACTTTCTCATCATTTCAAACCATACAGGTAAAGTCTTGCTCTAAACCACTGCAGCAGAGAATCAAGACCATCTCTCTACTCTCAGGAAGCTCGGGAAGAATGCATGTGGGTCAAACACAACAAGACGCATGGCTCTCCATGGCTGCTCAGGTCTCTGCATGTCTTACAAGCTAAGGCACTGGGTCTGTGTTCTGTCACCTTTTCAAGAATGCTTGTACACTGAATGGCTTAAATGTCAGAGAAAAGGTCTCTCCCTTGAGCACAGGTCAAGTCTGCTTACTGTACAAGGTGACAAGGACACACATTTTCTTTAATAAATTGTAAAAGAATTTTAAAAAGAATGCCTCCACTGTGGTAGGCTGTGAAGAGGCTCACGTGAAGTCTGTGACCTACTAGTGTGCAGCTTTACTCCTTAGAAGGTTAGAAGAGTATTGCAGAAATGCTCGGAAACCGCTGCCACCCTGTCACTACAGCTGTGACTCTTTCTGAACACTAAGTCTAGTCTTCACTATGTTCCCCAAATTGAAGAATAAAATATTTTTACTCTTTTAAACCTCTCAAGTACCAAAATGTTGTGCCGGTACATAGTTTGTAGAATTGTAATTTTATTGATCAAATGACATAACTTATAATGTAAATGTCCATATAATTGTTTGGCATTTTTATGCTTTAAAATTTGCAAACACTAATTTGCAAATTCTCAATAAACATTTTTGTACCCATAGTTTTTCTTCCTCCATTTGTGTGCATGATATATGCACACATGTATGTTGGTCTGTGTAGCCATGTGAACAAGAGGTCAGAGGAAGGAATCAGATATGCTGCTCTATTGCCCTCTGCCATATTCCCCTGTGTCAGTCTCTTACTGAACTTGGAGCTGGGCTGGCAGCCAGCAAGCCCCATAGAGCATCCTGTCTCTGCCCCATACCAATGGGTTACAAGTGCATGTGGGACCACTGTGGATATATATGTACTATATATTATATATATGTATATATACATATAACATATATCTAATATTATATATATTAATGTGGATACTAGATATTTGAACTCAGGTCTTCATGGCCCCAACTCCCCTACTCCCCTTTTTTGTCCTAGTTTGATCTAAGCTTAGCAAACTTTTTCTCTTTAGGACCACAAAGAAAACATGTCATGCTTTGGTGGATAAATGCTCTGTGTTTAACTGCTCAACTCTCTCCACCAGATCCACCATGAACTCAGCCAAACAAGAGGTAAATGTAAAGCTCTGTGCAATAATATTTTATTTGGGTTACAAATGCTTTTCCTATGCTATAAATTACTTAAATTACTTACTATAAATTACTTAAGCCTTTTAGACCTGGCATTCTGGATGGTTTTTCAAGATAAATGCCCAGAAACGAATTGATTGGGTTAAATGATACACTGTTGCAGGGTAAAATTGATGCCTAAAATATCTTTTGAATGGAGTAAACAATTTCTTTTCCTCTTTTTTCATGAGTGAAAAATAAATCCTTTGGTATTATCTCCATCCACTGAAGCAACCCACTCAGCAGGTCAGAGTTTGAGTGGGAATCAGAGGGCCCATGTCTGTCACTAGTGGGCAGCTCACCCTGAGTAGCTGCTGTTAACCCCTCTGTCCACATCTGCAGAAGAAAATAACTGCACCAGCAGCTTTCCAGACAGAAGGCACTAAACTTTTTCCTTGCAATAATCTCTGGGTTCCAGCCTCTTCCTGACAGCAGAAAAACATGAAAAGGAAACACTGCAGGAGACAGAACATGGCAAAGACACTGTCCATAAGAAAGTCAGGAAGTTACAAGTAGGAAAATAAAAATCTATTCCAAAAAGGAAATAAAAATTCACAGAGAATAACACATTGTGAGTTCATTAAAACCAAACCCATCTTTTAAAAAAAGCATTTCAAATATTTGAGTTGTAAAATAAGGTTCAACAACAATGGAACACAAAAAGAGCCTCTGTAAAATGGAATATTAGCCGAGCATGATGGCCATGCTTGAGGGCCTGGGGACTGTGGAGTTGAGATCAGCCTAAGCTACAGAGCGAATTCTATGTTAGCTTGGGCTACACAGTGAGAACCTGTCTCAAGAAAACAGAACTAAAGAGAACAAACAACACAGAAGAATTCTACATGGCAGCCACATGGAACTTCCCCACATCTTTGTGGGAGGGAGGGGCCAGCGTGCAAAGCCCAGTATAAATGAAGGTCACAGGGCCACATTTGGGTATTGGTCCTAGCCTTCCGCTTTGCTTGAGACCGGGCTTCCTGTTCACCGCCAGCCCGTGAGCTTCCACGGATTCCCTCCTTGAACAGGAGCACTAAGATTACCTACACGTACGGTTGCATCTGGCTTTACGTGGGGGGTTGGGGCTCTGAACACAGAACCTCATGCAGCAAAAGCTGTAGTCCTCCCTAGTCCAACAGGAATACTCATAGTCTGAGTTAGAGAGAAGACAGACTGCCTAGAGGCGTTGTAGGTGTGGCTGTTGTGTCACACATGTGTCAGTAGGTGTTCTGACCTATGAACATCTGAATGACTAGTAGCCTAACATTCCCTGAAGGAAGTGAGCCTGAGTCAACCACCAGACCAGTGCCAAAGGGCCTGGACAGGGACCAAGCCCGAGATGATCACCGGTCTGGCCCAGCACAGGCCTGAGTGGGCAGACCATGCCCAAGATGATCCCTGACCTTCTCCATAATGCACAAGCAGGGCACAGCACTTCTGAGACCACTCCTGAGATGACCCTAGACACTCAGATATCCCGGCACCACTAAGTGGAGCAAGTAAGTGGTAGAGAAATGGAGGAGAAAGAGAAACAGAAGGCTGTGGGCACAATGAAGACGGGCAGAACTGGACATGAGAGTAGGAAGGACGGCCTGATGTGAGTGGCCGGTGATGCCACCTGGGACCATGGTGGGGTCCTGGCCTGTGTTGTCACTGGGGGTCAGGTCTGAGTTCATGGCCTTGCAGTAAGCAAGGGTCAGTTATAATAGAAGCCCAGGTTTTCCTGCTCCAGGCTATCACCCAGGCACATGCTGATGTCTGAGGGCTGTGCAGAAATGGCCCCACCCCTCACCTGGGCATCATGGGATAGCTAGGCCCGGGGGCATGAAAGCAGGAGAGCTGGCCCTGCCACTCACCAGCTGCAGCACTTGGGAGAGAGGGGCCTGCCCCTCACCTGGGCAGCACAGTAGAGCTAGCCCTGGATGCAGGGGTTGCCTCTTGTCTGCTGTGTGATAATGCAGATGAGGGAGAGATACCCCCTTCCCCTCCCTTGTCCCTTATGGCAGATAGGAGAGTCATAAAAATGGGAGAATTGGCCAATACCCTCACTGACTGCAACAGCGAGCCAGCCCTGTACCTCACCTGAGCAGAAGAGTAGAGCTAGCTCTGGTTGCGGTGGTTCTAGGTGAGCTGGGCCCAGGGCAGAGAGTGGGAAAGTGGTCAGTCTGACTAGCTCAGATACCTCTTAGGCCCCGATTCAGGGCTTTGAAATGGACCACCCCAGTATCTCCCCCATCAATGAACTGCTGGCGTGTATGAAGAGGCTGGTCCTGCAGATCCAAAGTTATAGGATTTCCATGACACAGGGCAACAACAGGATGTCTGAGAGGAGTCCCTGTGAGGCTCCAGTAAGAATAGAGTAGAAGAAGCCAGAGGCCTCATACAGACCAATAACTCATTGTGATGACTCACTGCAATGAACATTTGCAAGCAAAGAAATGTGAACAATAGGTATACTGAGGGACACCCTGTACTACACTACAGCTTCCACAATGAGACTTTTTTTCTTTGTTGGGTGGGAGAGGTTGCCAGGGTGGAGGATGGGTATGAGGGGAGGGGGAAATGAGTGGTATTGGAGTGCATGGTGTGAAATTTGCAAAGAATGAGTAAAAGTTTAAAAAGAGTCCATATAAAATGAGACACAAGGGAATACATGTATATGTACACGCACACATACACTTACTCCCATTCACATAAAGCTGAGGAACAAGCTAAATCAATTCTGTTCACAGAAGGCTCAAGGCTGCTGACTGACCTTGGGCCTGCAGCAGAACCCTCCGGGTACTGAAAATGTTGATTCCTGATTCAAGGAGGCAGTTAAACAGGACAACACACACATCAAAATGACCAATGTGCACTTATGGATGGATGTCATATCTCAAAACATTTCTGCAAAGTGAGCACACGTCTTTAAAAATTTTAAAGAAAAAAAACTCACATTAAAAAAAACAAATCTACATTTGAAGACTTAAGAAACTACACAAAACAGCATGGAATAAAACTCTCCATCCTTTCTAAGAAATAGCCTGCAGGGGGATAATCTGGAGAATTAATGTATGCATTTGGCATGATGGTGTGTATCTGTAATTCCAATGATTGGGAGGCTGAGGCAAGAAAATAAAAAGCTTGAGGCCAGCCTGTGAACTACAGAATGAAATCTTGTCTCAAACAAAACAAAACAAAACATAATGAACAGATAAACATTATTGATAGCTAGCTAATGTATAGTTTCCTTCTCCCTTCTTATCCTTAAAAAAAAAAAAAAATCCCTTTTATCCACCCGACTCACAAGCCAGACAGATGGTGGAAGTAAAGCAGAAGAGAAAACAGAATTCCTGCAAGTTCATCTACCATGGTGTGGACCTGGACCCAGCTGCTGGACATGTCCTGTGAGCAGCTGATGCAGCTGTACAGTGCCCACCAGAGGCGGTGCCTGAACTGTAGCCTGTAGAGGAAGCAGTGCTTGCTGCCCAAGCACCTAAGAAAGGCTAAGGAGACAGTATAAGTGGAGAAGCCTGAAGAGGTGAAGACCTACCCAAGGAAAATTGATCATCCTGCTCAAGATGGCAGGCAGTATGGTGGGTATGTATAAGAAGTAGAAATCAAGCTGGAGATGACTGGCCACTACCCGGGGGAGTTCTCCATCACCTACAAGTCTGAATGGCATCCGTGCCACACACTCCTCCTGCTTCATCCCCTTTGAACTGGCTGGTTTTGTGTCAACTTGACACAAGCTAGAGTCATCAGAGAAGAAGGAGCCTCAGCTGAGGAAATGCCTCCCCGAGATCCAGCTGTAAGGCATTTTCTCAGTCATCAATGGGGGAGGGCCCAGCCCATGGTGGGTGGTGCCATCCCTTGGCTGGTGGTCATGGGTTCTATAAGAAAGCAGGCTGAACAAGTGAGCACGGTGAAGCAAGTCAGTAAGCAGCTTCCTTCCGTGGTCTCTGTGTCATATTTTGCCTCCAGGTTCCAGCCCTGCTTGCGTTCTTGTTCTGACTTCCTTCAATGATGGACTACAGTGTGGCAGTGTAAGCTCCTCCACAACTTGCTTGTGGCCATTGTGGTTGGTCACAGCGATAGATACCCTAACTCGGACAGGCTGGTACTAGCACAGTGGGGTATTGCTGTGACAGACCTGACCATGTTTTGGGGAGGACTGTAGAAGGACTTTGGTACTTTGGGCTAGAAGAGCCATTGAGAGTTAAGATCTCAGTGGGATGTTCTTTAGGAGCTCGGAAGATGGGAATGTTGAGGGCAGTGCAGGAGTTAGAGGCCTGGCTTGTGAAGTTTCAGAGGGAAGTGGTGTACAGGAGATCAGGCCTGAGCAGGTCCTGAAGTTACATGAAGAAGTTGCCCACGTGCCCATGGTTCTACTCCTGGTACAGTGCCCTCTACTGCCAAGTATGCACCTATGCTCATGGGGTGTCCCCTACGACTGGCTGACTGAGGAAGAGAGGACTAGGGCTTGGCTTACTGATGGTTTCATATGTTGTGCAGCAGAAGTGGACAGCTGTAGCATCACAGCCACTTTCTGCAACAACCCTGAAAGACAGTGGCGAAGGAAGATTTCCACAGTGGGCAGAACTGCGGGCCATTCACGTGTGTATGTACTTGAAAGGAGAAATGGCCAGATGTGCAATTGTCCACTGATTCATGGGCTGTAGTGAATGGACTGGCTGGACGGTCAGGGACTTGGAAAGATCATGATTGAAAAGTTGGTGAGAAAGACATCTGGGAAAGGAGTGTGTGGATAGATCTCTCCAAACAGGTGAAGGGTGTGAAGACACTTGTGTCCTGTGTAAATACTCATCAAAAGACGACTTCAGCTGAGGGGGAGATTATAGACAGCAGCTTGGCAGCTGTTCCTAAGACCTGGCCCTCCTACATGATCACAAGTGTGTCTGAGGGTCTTGAATTGTGATGAATAGCGGCTTATTTTAGGGCACAGCCCTTGGCGTTCACACACACTCTGCATGGGGTTGCTCTTTCTTAAGTTCCTCTATTCCATATATACTAAAACGAGCATTCCACATTAAATGTTCCCATCCTCAGCTCTCTCTTGAGTATGTGGAAAGACAGTCTACTTGCACTTGTATCCAGACCACACGTCTGGCAAAAATGGCAATGATGATGGAATAGAACTACTGTTGCCGCAGTGTCTTTATATACTGCCATGTACTTCATAAGCAGCCAGGAACTTTGCTGGCTTCCTTGAGCAAGGAGGCTTTCATGCATTAAAAGCTCCAGTGCAGACAAAGGAAACACTGGAAGGTAAACCTTTCCCTAGAAGTCAGGGTTCTACCTTTCTTGTGTGGCCTTTTTAATTCCCCATGAGAAGTGTAACTGTGAGTGTGAGTCTACATGTCTGTGTGTATGTCACACACATGAGTGTGTGGGTGTTTGTTCCTATGTCTATGCAGACACCAGAACAAGAAGTTGGCCGTTTTCCTCATCACCCTCTGCCTTACTGCCTTGAGATGGGGTCTCTCACTGGACCGGATGCCTGCTGCTTTGGCTATGCCACATCTCTTTGTTTGGTAACATACAGATGCATTTTGGAAACATACCCTCAGACATGTCTCCTGAGAATTACCTTTGTGGTACTCTGTCATGTTGTCTGTCACACTGTGACACTGACTGCCTGTTTCTGATGTGCTTCTTCCATGTGAGCTCTTTACACAGGCAGTCAGATCATCAGAGCAATCTTTGTACACCTGATACTTAGCAGATGCTCAGATGTTCGGGTTAATGAACAAACAATGGAAATTGGACTTCATGGCAGACACATCTTAAAATGTTTCTAAAATTCGTGCTTTGAGCTGGGTCCACTGAAAAAATTGGTACCTTTTAGGACGGTTACAACTTTGAAGTTTTGTTGATTTTTTTTTTTTTTTCAGAGCCAGGAAGATGTTCAGTGGGTAGACCCACTTGCTAACAAGCCTGGTGAGTTGAGGTCCTTGCCCAGACCCCCAGACCCCGTTCCCACAGGCTGTCCTCTGTCCTCCACACATGTCTGGGTACATGTGCCCAGGCACAAGTAAATAAGTAACCATAAGAAAGAATATATTTTCATGTGTGATTAGTCTTTTATCTTTATCAAGCAGAATAAAGGTGCCAAATAACTCATACATTATATCACAGAGCTTAACATCAGCAATGTAAAAATACTCAATATGTTCAAAATAACTTGTATTTTTCCACTCAAAACTGGTGTGGTATTTTAGACAAGTGCCCTTACAAAGGAACTTATGTATAATACCACTGTCCTTAAGAAGGTCAACTGAAACAGTCTACAGCTACTCCAAGAACTTGGTGTCCTCAAGTGCAAACATACAATTTAAAAGTATTTTTATTCATAAATTATATATTTTGTATCATATTATTGGATACAGCTGTTACAGCCTAAGTGATCACTGTATAATCAACTTAGTTTCTTCTTGTCAGCAAACATAAGCAAGATGAAAAAATTATTCAAAACTTGAAGATCAGCTAGGCTGCTCCCTGTTCTGAACCAGCTGCGTGTGTCTCCTCTCCATGGAAGCAGTTCTTTTAAGACCATGACACATGGGGCACCATTTGTACTGACTTTATTTGGAGACTGTCCATTCTGTCTTCCACCCCAGCACTCACAGGCACTGCCCTCAACCATGTATCTCTGTAAACAAGGACTGCAGCTGGCTGCAGCACTTACCAACCAGTACCTGACCGCTCTTCATAGCAGAGCCTCCGGGCAACAGGCCATGCACCACGAGCCTCTCTCCATCTGCCTGCTTCCTGCTCCGTCTCCAGCTCCACTTGGTCTGATGGATGATTCCCACCAGCACTTCCAGGAGTTTGAGTGGCTCCCTGGCTTTAATGACAGTTAGCTTCTTGGGGTTGATGTAGACCGTCACGTCCTTGTACCGTTGCTGCACTGTGAGTCCGGTCTTCTGGTTGGACCGGTGCTTGAGGATGGACACCGGGCCACTGTCATTGCTGTTCTTTTTGTGGTTGCGCTTGGGTAGAAGTCTTTTGCTTTTCAAGATCTTGGTGAAGCGCTTAAGCTTGGGCTCATACTTCTTTCGTTCTCTGGGATCATCCTCTTCAATGATGACCTCCTTCTCACTGAACCTGACATGGTTCACATGGTTCACAGTCTGGGTCTCTGGAAGGAGGCTCTCCTCCTCATCCTCACTTAGTTCCAGGTAAAACAGTTCTCCATTCCTCTGCACACTGTCCAGCCACTCAGGCTCCAGATCACTGTATGAGAGAGAAGAGGTCAACTCAGTGGTCATCCAACATGAGAGAGACAGCTGCATTTCTGGTGTGGGAGCACCAGTAGGCTTGGTACTAGAGATGGAGGGTGGTGGTTATAGTGTTTTCAAGAATGGGGGAGGGAATCAAACAGGCAGAGTGATACCAAAGAAAATCAATTACAAGGGGGAAGGACAGACCTTTTTTTACAATGTACAGGGCTGTGTTTTATTTTTTATTTTATTTATTTATTTTTTTTTCAGGGCTGTGTTTTTAAAAGTAAAATTAATTCAGGCTCACACCTGTAATTCTAGCACTTAGGAAACTGAGGCAGGAGGACTGTCATGACTTCAAGACTAGCCTGGGCTACACAGTGAATTCCAGGCTACAAAGTGAGTGAGGCTCTGTCAAAAAAAAAAAAAAAAAAAAAAAAAAAAAAAAAAAAAAAAAAAAAAAACAAAAAAAAAAAAAAAAAAAAAAAAAAAAAAAAAAAAAAAAAAAAAAAAGAAAAAGAAAAGAAAAAAGAAAAGGCAAAACAACATCAAAAAAACTAATTCAGACAGAGGCTGGGACGTGTTCTCTGCAGTGAAATGTTCCCACACATCTAGGAAAGTGAAAACCTGAAAATTCTAGAAGGCCAGCTTTACAGAAGGAGCAGGTACTCTAACCAGCAGCTGCAGAGAGCAGATACCTGGGCCTGTGGAGCTGCCCACAAGCTGGGAGAGAGTTCAAGGGCTGAAGTGTCACCACTGCTGGGGTCACACACTTGCTTTTGATTTGTCCCCACCCCTTATAAGCAACCCCTTACTAACTCCTGCTAGGGACCCCAACAGAACCTCACTGATTCACCAAGTTAGATGCTGCTGTCTAATCCACCATGGGTTCCCCCTATGGGGTGAGAAGATGTATAAGTGTGTGTCTTCCCAGAAAAATCCCTCACATGACATTATGGTAGCATGTTTAGCTCAAAACATGCTCCAGGTCTGTGAGAGACTCGTCTCAAAAAGCAAGGTAGAGTGCAATAAAGGCTGATAACGTTATCAACCACTAGCCTCCCCATGTGCACACCTGGGCAAGCGCGCACACACACACACACACACACACCATGAATCCAGCCACTTGTGGCTACAGCTCACTTTGGACATCTCAGAATTCACATTAGCCATTGAAAGTATGATCACATCCATAGAAACCAGTTGTGTGAAAACCACAGGAAAGCATCCTATTTGCATAGTGAGTACTTGGGACAGCTTCAGGCTTCAGTTAGAACAAAGCTAAGCAAAGTGTACTCTGTTCAGATAACAATTTTCAGAAAAGCAGCCTTCATCTTTCCACAAACTGCAACCACGGCTAAAACAAACCAGCTATAATCATAGTTCAGAATGAACTGAGCTGTAACGTATAATTTCTGCACAACTCCTCATTAGAGGTAATACTATGAAAAGTAAAGCTAACGCTTTACATAATTCATCCTGTGGCTGTAAAAGAGGATAGATGGGAAGCTGGCTATTAAAAAACCCAAATTATCGCCACTAAAATTATCGAGACAGCATTAAACAGAAACTACATTCATTCTGTGGTAGTTAACTGATCATACTCTGTCCTGTTTGGAGTTGCGGCTGCCTTCCGAGCTGCCGCTATTTAACGTGACACCTGTTTCCTTGTAAATCCACCATGTGGGGACAGCCTTAAGCTGATCACCCTGGTGGGGAAGTATGTAATCCAATGGCTCTCGACCTTCCTAACACTGTGACCCTTTAATACAGTTCTTCATGTTGTGGTGACCCCCACAACCCTAAAATTATTTCCTTGCTACTTCATAACTGTAATTTTACTTCTGCTATGACCTGTAATGTAAATATCTGTGTTTTTCAATGGTCTCAGGTGACCCCTGTAAAAGGGTCCTGACCCACAGGTTGAGAACCACTGGTGTAATCTGTGTTCTGATCATTCAACCAAAAAGAAAAGGTTTGCTCTGCTCTTTTAACTGTTTATTAGCAACTCTGGTTCTTTAACTTAAATTCTGTCAAATACTGCTTTCTGAATACCATGAAAATTAGTCCCCCAAAATATCCTATCCTTTTATTGGCTTGTCACTAACTTTTATTGCCCCCGTCACTAACTACAGATACCAGCCAATGGCCGCTTCAACCTCACCTTCTATCCTCACAGAGGTTACTGTTTAATAATTCCACAGCTCCACTCTGAAGATCCCAATAACTGTGTGCCTGCTGTAAGCCTTTAGGTGACAAATGAACAATGATCTTCAGTGGCACATTCTGGACAGTATCATCAGGTTTCACTGTGGTTGACACTATGAAGTGTCCCCAAACACTTATATGCTAATGCTTGTTCCCAGGCAGTGGGCTAGAGAGAACAGAGCATGAGGGTACCATCCACTGATGTCACAGATGACAGGGCTGTGAGGAGGCAGAGACCAGTAGGAGCATGCTCTCAAACTGTATTCTGTCCCCCTCCCTTCACAGCTTCCCTCCACGTTAATGCACTGTTTCCCCCACAAGCCTGGAAACAGAGCCAAGGAACCATTGCTTTGAACTCAGGAGCCAAGATAAATCATTCCTCCCTCAACTAGCTTGTCACAGTGCTGAAGAGTGACTGGCGCCAAATAACTGAGCTGTGTATCAACTTCAACTACAGATGCTTTGCTTTATCACCTCATCCCTTCAGTTTGCCACGTTCTTCATATTAGATGCATGAGCACTTTTTCATTTGCTACATAGAAGGCCGGTTCATCTTAATCATTAAAATCTGAGTATGAGTTCACCTTGTGGTTATGCTTTAAAGATCCAGGTGGGCAGAATGTAGCAAATACATAGGGCCAGCCACTGTGGTAAATGAAAACACTTCTGATGTGATAGCGAGTCAGCCTAGCTGATAAAAGTACTTGCTGCCGAGCCTGACAACCTAAGTTCGATTCCTGGGTCCCACATGGTGAAGAGACAGAACGGACTCCATCCACAAAGTTGCTTTTTTTTCTCTACACATCCTACATTGCACATATGTACGTGTGCGCACACACTTAGAAATACACACAATAATAATAAGCAAAAGTAAAGTTAAAAAAACCTTTGCTTTGTGGGTAAAAGACTCTGGAAAAGACCCCACGATGATGCATACAGTAGGTACAAGACAGAGGCATGAAGGATAAACGGTGGGAGAGAGTTAGGGAGCAAAAGAAAAAGAGGACTTAACAACCGGCTTTCACAGAACAGGGAACAGGGCAGACATCGGCTTAACGGAGAGGTGGATGCTGGGAGACTGGGCATGGGCTGGGAAACTGTGACAAACCACAGGAGACTAAGAGGAACTGATGATGAGTGGCAACACGATATGCTGGGTGGAACCCTGGAACCAAAACGCAACAGTAACAGGAGAGCTGTAATATCCAAATGAAGTCCCGAGTCAGCTCAGAGACCATCCAGCAAGTAACAGCTGCGAAAGTTGTTAACATGGGGAGGTGGTCTGTCCTAGATTCATTCTGTTGCTGTGATAAAACACCCTGACAAAAGGCAACTAAGAAAGGAAAGGTTTACTTTAGGTCACAGTCCCAGAGGGACAGAGCCCATCAGAGTGGGATACCATGGCAACAGGAAGGAAGGCATGAAGGTAGAAGAAGGAAGCTGGATGATCATATTTCATGCACACAGGAAACAAATGGGATTATGCCATAAATCCTTAAGATCCCACCCCCAGTGATGTACTTCCTGCAGCAAGGCTCCATCTCCTAAAGGTTCTATAACCACTCCAGATAACAACCCCAGTTGGGGTTCAAATGTCTAAAGACATGAGCCTATAGGAGACATTTCATATTCAAAACGCAACAGGAGCTAGAATCACCTAGGAGACAAGTCTCTGGTCATACCTGTGAATGACTATATTGGGCTAGCCTCTGGGCAAGTCTATGAGTGTTCATCTGTGTTAGGTTAATTGAGGTACAAACACCTATAAATGTGGGTAGCACCATGCCACGAGCAGGGGTCTTGGACTGAACAAAGAGGAGACAGTTAGCCAAGTATTCATTGACTGTGTGGGCAATGCGACCAGCTGCCTCAAGTGCATGCTGCCATGACTTCCCTTCCATGATGGACCCTCAAACTTAAGTCAAATAAACCCTTCCTTCTTGAAGTTATCAGGTATATTGTTACACCAGTGAGACAAGTAGCTAATACATCATGAAAGGAATATGAATCTATCTGGCACATGATCAGTGGGCTCCAGCCTGCCTCATCTCTTCTCTCATCTTGGTCCTCTGTCTGCTGATAACATCTGAATTTCACCTCTGACAGTCTTCCACAGGAAAAGAACTTTCAAACTAATCCTAAGGAATCTAAGGATGGGAAGCCACTGAGCTTTTGAGTAGAGCAGGAAAAATGGTTTAGAACTGTGTTGTCTTTTAAAGATTTATTTTAAATGCACTTTTATTAATTCTTTGATAATTTCACATAATTGCATTTTGATCATATTCACCCTGACTTCTCCCTCTAACTACTCTCAGATGCACCCTCTCCTGCATCCCCACAGCTTTGTCTCTTATTATTTAAAGAACCCATCAAGACCAATACTGTTGCTATACATTTCTGGGTGTGGAGCCATCCATTGGAGCTCAGTCCATCTACTAGGGCCCACACCTTTCCCCAGAGACCATCATTCATCCACAGCACCTAGTTAGGGGCAGGGATTCATGAACCTCTTCTCCCTCCATGCTAGAGTGTTAACTCACTTGATCTTATGGATCTTCATGGCAAATCTTTAGATCTGTGTGCCTGTAGAATCCAGGAAACCAGAAAGGGATCACTGATGTGGAGGAGAATGAAGGAGACTTATTTTTAATGGGTGTGTGTGTGTGCGTGTGTGTGTGTGTGTGTGTGTGTGTGTACACCTGCCAAGGCAGAGGCATCAGATCTCCCCAGAGCTGGAGTTATACATGGGTGTGAGTTGCCTGATATAGATGGTAGAAATCAAACTTGGGTCCTCTCCCAGAACAGTACAGACCATGCCCCTAATCACTGAACCTTCCAATCTTTTGTTGTTGTTTTTTGAGACAGTATTTCTCTGTGTGACAGTCCTGGCTGTCCTGGAACTTCCTTTGTAGACTAGGCTAGCCTCAAACTCACATCAATCCACCTGTCTCTGTCTCCCAAGTGCTGAGGATTACCACACCCAGCTCATCTCTCCAATCTTTAGAACTGTGTTTGAGAAAGTAAGTTCTTGCAGCTGGACGGAGAAATGACTGGAAATAGAAGCAGAGCATCCAGATCTTTTGGAGGTGATGCCCGTGAAAAGAGAAAGAGAAAGAGAGAGAGAAGAGAGAAGAGAAGAGAGGCATGCCCTAGTGGTAAGGCAGTGTGGAAAGGGAGAGGACTGAGGACTGAGATACAGTAAAAGATGTGAGCACAATCAAGTGTAAAGACATAAAGCAAGAGACAGTGATGAGAGGATGGATGAGGCAAGGAAGAGAATTCTCTTTAACACACTGAGCTAGAAGTGGAGTGAGGTGGCAGATGGGAATTATCATTTTCATTATTAACCTACTTTCATGCTAGTTATCTTACTGAACTACATGAGTTTATAAAAGAACTAATTAAAAGTAAAGCTGGGGTTCAGAACAGGAGAAAAAGGGGGAACTATCACCTTGAACAGAGGAAAATAATATGGCATCATGAATTTGATCCCATAAGTCACTCATGTTCATGTCAAAACCCAAGGAAAAGGTAACCATTGCTCTAGACAAACAATAGAATTCTAATCAGAAAGAAAAGAGAGAGCTGAACCACTATAGCAACAACATAAAAAAGAAGACAACAGAGAAAAATGACTGCATTTTTATAAAACTGGAAAATCCAAAGCCACCTACAGGGACAGAAAGCAAGTGGTTATAGGAAACGCTTGGTCTTAGACATGTGGGAAAACATCTGGGTGAGATAGAGTGTGCTATGTTGATGGATATATGTGCAGATTTTCACATATGTCTCAATAAAGATGCTGAAAATCCAAGGCAAGATTTAAAGGAAGTATTTTCTTTCTTCTCTAGCTAATTTTATTTTAGGTAGAAGTTTTTCATATTTTTTTTTCAGCTAAAATCTATTTTACAGTCACCCCTCTTCTTGCACATCAGCCCTAGTTATAAAATTAACAATGGCAAAAGAAAAACACTAAAAAATTAAAAATTGATGTCATAAAATTGACAGCTTTTGGCCAACATGAACTAATCAATGTTGGTTCAATGAAACATTAACTGCAGAGCAGAGCGAAGAAGCCTGTCTCCACTGCTGAGGAAATGCCTGGTTTTCACCATCCCAGGTCTGCAGCAGTCAGTGGGTCCCTTAACCCAACTCCCTCAACAGTTTTGCCTCTGAAGCCTCCCTGAGGTCATGCACACATGCCAGGTTTAGACATGACGGCATCCTTTACCTAAAACCCCCTTCTACCACAAGACTAAAACAAACCTACCAAAAGAACCTTGGCCCAGACAAACGGCTCAGCATGTAAGGGCACTTGCTGCCAGGCCTGATGGCCTGCTTTTGATGCCCTGAACACAAATGGTAGTTGGAGAGAATCAACTCTTCCAAATTATCTTCTGATTTCTCTACTGTGTTATGGCAACTGTGGGCAAGGACACACACCTGTGCACACACACACATACACATGTAAACACACAGGCACACAAATAAACACATGTGCACATACATGCATGTGAACATATGCAGGCTCATGCACACACACGGACACACACAGTCACACTCTAAGAACTATTTTAAAACCCTACCAGAATGTTATCCTAAAGCAATTTCATCTCAAAAATAATAAACTTACTAACTGATGGTCATATGCAGGTCGGTCTGCATTTTGATTACCAGCATGCATGGAATAATAACTTGCAATAAGAAGAGTCAGACGGTAACTGGAATCTTGAAAGTCCAGGCTATGTAATAGGTCTTTCTTACTAAGTTTCATGAAGACCACAAAGGTGACAGGGAATGCCTACCTCTCTGACTTGAAAGGTTTAGGCTCATAGTCCTAAGCCTTTCGTCAGGGTGGGTCTTCCCAAAGCTGGATGACCCAGCTTGCACTGTAACTGCTGCACCGGACAGTAAATACCTAACATTGTAACAGACTTGAACAAAACCTTCATGTCATACACATCAAAAAGGCACGGGCATAAAAATCTGAATTTTGGTAGGATGCAACCGGCTAAACTTTTTGCAACAGGACAAGGACACTGGAATATTTGGAGTGCTGAGTTAATGACTGATAACGACACAGACACATGCACTCTGGACCGTGGGATACTTAAAGGTTTTCCTACAAACTTCTCAAGTTCCTCATTTCTAGAAAATCCCACTGGACGCTGGGTACCCTGTCAGGAGTTTAGGTCTGGATTTCTAGAGGCAGCGTTTGTACGTCCATGGTAACTGTACACGTTATTTCTAGGATAAAAGGATGTGACGAAGATGCGGAGAGATCAAGCACAGGACTCCCAGCCTAATGCTCCCTACAGCACGATAAGGTTCTGTGTAGCAGAAAACTTGTGAAACACCCGTGCCTGGTCAGTGTAAACAACCTAGAATCACCTAGTAAGACAGTCTCAGCTGAGGAACTGCCCTAACACAGATGGCTCCGTGGGCATGTTGTAGGGAACCGTCATGATTGTTAACTGAAGTAGGTCCCAACCCACTGTGGTTCTTTCTATGTAAGAAAGCTAGCTGAGCAGAAGCTTGCCAGCCAGCATCGCCCTCCATGCTTTCTGCCCTGCAGCTTGGCTGAGCTGAGTTTTTGATTGGAGGTATTGCTATGCAGAATAGCAAAGCAGGTCTGCCTTCAAGGTCCTGCCTTGACTTCCCTCAGTAATGGACTGTGACCTGAAATTGTAAGTCAAGTAGACACCGTTCCTCTACGTTGCCTTAAGTCATAATTTCTCATCACAGCTAGGACACAAAGCTAGAACAAACCACAAATTTTAAAATCATTTTTAAGATGACAACAACTTCGAAAAATTGATATTATCACATTGGTTCAAAATTTTAAGAATACATTCGAACTGTACTAAGCTTCTAGAAGGATTTAAATAGGGTTTTCCCTAACTTTTAATGACAACTAAAAAAGAAAGAATGTGTTACATACTGTTGAAGATGGTCACAATTATTTGTAACTGCTAGTTCTAACTACACATAAAATGTTATCCTAAAACTATGGATGGCCTTTGGGTAACCCTTCTATTACCAGTCATTCACTGTAAATTACCACTGGCTTTTCCAAGTCCTTAATCCACAGGAACACGGATAGATTCCTTAAAAAAAGTAAAACTGTGACGCAAAATAACTCATTCATTTATCAAGTATTTTAACTGGAAAAATAAAACGTTGGAGTTGAATAGAAAAATACAGCACGAATATCCTGAAGCCACAACGGATGCCTTTATATTGAGGCTCTGTTATCTAGTCACTTCCGTAAGTGGAAAACACCTCCACAGTTTAAAATAGTTGCCTTATAAAGTGTGCACGGTGCCTCTCCATGGTAAATACTCAGGAGTCTGTGGGTGCAAAGGGGCCTCAGAGGTAAGGTGCATTTGCTGCTCTCGGAGAGGACCGGAGTTCAGTTTCAAACACTTCAAGCGCCCGTAGCAGTGGCTCACAACCGCTGGTAGTTGCAGGGATCCAAGGCCCTCTTTTGGCCTCTGTGGGCACTGCACTCATGTGCACATGCCCACGCAGGTACACATAATAATAATAATAATAATAATAATAATAATAATAATAATAATAATAAATTTTCTTAAGAATGCTCTGGAGTCAGAAGGCAGCGCTACAGGGCAGGGTTCGGGGGCACCACAGACATCCCACACAGAGCAGGGCCCACCAGGAGGCGGGGACCCTCTTATCCGGATACCGCAGGAGGCAGGCCAGCACCCTACTCCCCGCACGTGCTCACGGGACCGAGGACCCACAGTCCCCTGGAGCCTTACGTGTCGCTGCTGGCTGAGGAGCAGGAGCTCAAGTCGCTGGCTTCGGCGTCGGCCTCCTCCTCTTCCTCCTCCTGGGAGGACAGGTCTCCGGAGAGCTCTGCCGGGCGCCTACTCGGGTCTCTCCACGCAGGGTCCGCCATCATCACTGTCGCGAGAGCTCCAGTGGGGACACTCAGACCCCAGAACCCGCCAGCCAGGGCTGCGGTCGCGCCGCCATTTTGCCAGGCCTGGTCACGTGATCCAGGTGCTCAGCTGCGATTGGCTGGGGCGCTGGTTGCCCGGGAGACGGAGAAGCTTCCCGGTAGAGACCCGGAGCTTTGAAGGGAGCCAATGAGTGCCCTTTCCACAGGCCGAGCAACCTTCGCTGCTTGGCGTTTCCCCACCCGCTTCCAAGAGGGGAGCCAGGCAGAGATTTTTTTTTTCCCTTTTTATTTTTTTTTCTTTCCCGATTTTGAGTCTCTTACAGTTTGTTCTTTGTCTTGTTTTCTTCTTCTTCTTCTTCTTCTTCTTCTTCTTCTTCTTCTTCTTCTT